TTGTTTATACTATTCTCTTATAATCCTTTTTTATTTTTGTAAGTTGTAATATCCTCTCTTTCATTTCTCATTTCAGTTACTTGCATTTTCTTTTTTTTTTCAATCTGGGTGAGGGCTTATCAATTTTGTTGATCTTCTCAAAAAACCAAGTCTTGTTTTTCTATTCTCCTTTCATTTAGCTGTGCTCTAATCTTTATTATTTCCTTCCTTCTGCTAACTTTTGGTTTAGGTTGTTCTTTTTCTAGTTCCTTGAGGTGTAGTGTGTTGATTTTGAGATCTTTTTTTTTATTTTTTAATTTTTAAAATTTTTAAAAGATTTTATTTATTTGATAGAGAGGGCGAGCACACAGATAGGCAGAGTGAAAGGGAGAAGCAGGCTCCCTGCTGAGCAGATCCCGATGTGGGTCTCCATCCCAGGACCCTGGGATCATGACCTGAGCCAAAGGCAGATGCTTAACTGACTGAGCCACCCATGCCCTGCCTTTTTTAAAAAGATTGATTTATTTTAGAGAGCGAGTGAGCACGAGTGGGGAGAGAGGGAGAAGGAGAGAAGCAGGCTCCCTGCTGAGGGTGGAGCCTGACAAGGGACTTGATCTCACCACCCTGAGATCATGACCTGAGCAGAAATTGAGTTGGACGCTTAACTGGCCACACAACCACCCGAGATCTTTTCTTTTTTAGTATTCACTGCTATAAATCTCCCCCTTACTATTGCTTTCATAGCATCCCATAAATTTTGGTATGTTTTCATTTTTCATTTGTTAGATCTTTTCTAATTTCCGTTGTGATTTCTTCTTTGAGCCCCAAATGTATTTTTTACTTTAAAGTTGTATGGAATATAAAATGATTTCAGGGTTTGGTTATCAGGGGAATACAAATATGGGATTACAGATCCTATTGAAATGGCAATAACATAGATTCTATATTTTTTACTTCTAGGGCTTCTTCTGTTTTGTATGTGTAAAAAAAGGGAGGGCATGGAGTCCATTGAGCTACGAAATAGTGAACCAAAATGGTGCTATTTTATTTTATTATTTTTTAAATGTTTTATTTATTTATTCATGAGAGTCAGAGAGAGAGACAGAGAGAGGCAGAGGCAGAATGGAGAAGCAGGCTCCCCGCCTAGCAGGGAGCCTGATGCGGGACTCAGTCCCAGGACCCTGGGATCATGACCTGAGCCAAAGGCAGACACTTAACCATCTGAGCCACCCAGGCACCCCAGGTGCTATTTTAATAGACAGTGACCATCCACTGAGTACAACCACTGTAGTTGGCAGTGGAGATTCAGAAGTATAGAAGATACCATCTCTGTCCTGATTTTTACTTTTATATGAAGGATGAAATTAGGCTGATGGTAACTCAGTAACTTAATGAAGTGAAACTTGGCAGAGAAAACCAGCATTTAGGAGCAATGCCATGTTTACCCTCTGCCTATTGCTGCCTTAAGTTATTTAACACTATCCTTTTTTTTTTTTTTTTTTTAAGATTTTTATTTATTTATTTGAGAGAGAGAATGAGAGACAGCACGAGAGGGAAGAGGGTCAGAGGGAGAAGCAGACCCCCCGCTGAGCAGGGAGCCTGATGTGGGACTCGATCCCGGGACTCCAGGATCATGACCTGAGCCGAAGGCAGTTGCTTAACCAACTGAGCCACCCAGGCGCCCCTTAACACTATCCTTTAAAAAAATTGTTTTTTTCACTAGGCACAACACTATCACTGGGCGATGGCTGACCAGATTCCAGGCTGTGTGGGACCCTAAACAAGAAGATTGTGTCATAGTTGGCAGCATGGCTCATCCACGACGGGTAGAAATCTTCCATGAGACAGGAAAGCAGGTGCATTCTTTTTTTGGTGGAGAATGCCTTGTCTCTGTGTGTTCCATCAACACTATGCACCCAACTCGGTATATTTTGGCTGGAGGTAATTCCAGTGGGAAGATACATGTTTTTATGAATTAAGAAAGCTGCTGAGTGTTTGGTTTAGCAACACCAATTTGTTCAAATTAATCAGTGTCTAAGGAGCCTAGTAATTCATGTGGCTTGGCCTGTTTTTAATATGTTCTATTTAGTGAATATAAAATTGCTTTATTAATAAGAACTGTGAGCAGAATGTATACAGTTACATACTTAACATGTTTAGTAAGGAAGAAGCCTTTTAAGTTGTTTCTTTAGGGTGGGAAAAGAATTTGAGAGGAGGCTGTGATGCCTTCAGCACTTTTAATCAGGCAGTATGTTGAGAAATTCTGGCATTATAAATTACAAAGCTTTGATCAGTATTAAAAGTTTTTTTGGTTTAATGATATGGTTTTGATTCTGTAGTGATATTTGGATTTGTGGTTTATTTCATGGTTTGGAGTGAATATTTGTAGACTTACACACTGGAAGGGATCCTGAAAGGTCATCTAACTTAGTGATTTTGAAACTTAATTTTTTTAATGGAGAACTCTTTTTTTTCCCCCCCTCCTGCCTTTAAATTAAAAGTAAAATCCTAAGATAATTGTTGAGGAGCCTTTAGTTCACTTGGACAGGGGCCTGGGTCTTTGTGTGCTGACCCTTTTACCTCCTCTAGATGGCTCCTGAAGCATGAGCCAAGGGATTGTAGGGCTTCTAGGAACAGGGTTTTGATCTGCCTGACCCTTGTAATCCAGTGTGAGATTGCCTTCAGACCAGTGTTTTCCAGACTGCGGTTTGTAGCTATTCACATGAAATCAGTGTAGCCATGACCAGCCTTTAAAAAAAGGAAAAGGAAAGAAATAGTAAAGAATAATAAATGTAATTAGAGTAAGTGTTGTTTTGTGAAACTTAGTAATATGTGCATACATATATGTAAGTGTATATGCATATGAATATTCTGATGTAAAACATGTCTTTATTACTGTGGTACTACTGTGGGTCATAGTTAAAGAAGTGAAAGCTCCTGCCTTAGAAGGTCCCAGACACCCTTTTCTGTCCCTGTCTTTAAACTCTCCAGAGGAGATTCATTAGCCTATTAAGTGAATACCTTCATTCCTAATTCATACTGGGGGGAAATGTTATGATAAACCACTTTTGGCATTTTGTCATAAACTTTTTTTTTTTCCCCAGAAGTTAGGGCAATGTGAATGTGTTTGTTGTTGGAAGGGTAGCTTCTTAACTCAGTGACTAACATTACCGTGTGATAGCACCTATCTGACTTTTTTCATTGCTCTTCATTGCCAAACTACTACTGAAAGACTATTGTAAATCATTTTTGGCAATATGTTTGAATTCTAAGAGGAAATATCTTCTCAAATTATATATTACAGAAATAAAATGACATGTATAATTTCCTTCTCTGTAATGAGAGGTTAAGTCTAATTTTGAGGCCTAGTTTATTAAGTAGGTTGTGAGTGTTTATAAGTAACAAGAGTTCTCTATTTTCTTGATGATAGGCGTATAGGAATTGGTAAGTGAAACGGAACATTAATTTATGAAATGGAAAGTAAAGCTAAATGAGGTTGACTTCTATTAAACTGCCTGGAGATGGTAAATGAAGCCTCTAGGCTTCCTTTCCCTTTTTGATACCACTTCAGTTCACAGGTTCCAGGGTGGCAACTTCTGTGAGAACTGCTCTTTTTTTTAACGATATTGAAATTAGCACCATCCTTTAAGCTTTGAATACTTGGTCGTAATTGCCTGGTTTCTGCAATAAATGTTAGCATATTCTTGATGTTTCTCACTTTTGTGGTTTCTTTTGCCATTTTAGCTTCATAAACTGTGCTATTTATATTTAATTCCACTTAATAGACTGTCTTCTTGAGGCAATATGCAGGAAGGAAGGAGAGTGTGGGGGGACTTGTTTCTCAGTGAAAAGCTCTATAATGGAGTAATTGTTTAAATCTAGAAAACACGTAAAGTAAAATTGTCTCCCTTAGGACATCCTTAAACTATAATCTGTTGTGAAAGGTACTTCTCCCAGAGACTTGCTTAAAACTGTGTGGCTTCTGTAATTATTTGTATATTACAATTGCTCTCTCTTTTTGGGATAAACCTTTTTTTTAGGTTGTGCTTTATGATATCCCTTAAGCATGTAAGCTCTGTATTCCACTTGAATCATTTTCTTTGAGATGCCCAGCCTTTCTTATGTGACTTTAAGGAGGAAGGAGATGATTCTCGTCATAGGTGGACAGGTAGGTGAGACTACAAATGATCTAGAATTGATAAAATCTGAGTTGATTCAGTCCTGTTTTGGTATTCAGGTCTTTGAGTTTCTGTTCCACAGAGATGACTTTGCAAAGGCAGTTCTCCAGGAAAACAGGGAGCTTGAGGGCTGTGAATACAAATATTTAAATCTTTTTTTTTTTTTTTAAGATTTTATTTATTTATTTGACAGAGAAACAGCGAGAGAGGGAACACAAGCAGGGGGAGTGGGAGAAGGAGGCTTCCCGCAGAGCAGGGAGCCTGATGGGGGGCTCAATCCCAGGACCCTGGAATCATGACCAAAGGCAGACGCTTAACGATTAAGCCACCCAGGTGCCCCCAAACAGATTTAAATCTTTTCAGCCAGTTACAGTACATGGGAAGGGGGGAGGACAGACTCATGTGCCTAATCTCTTTACCCAGTGTAGGGCTCAGACTCACAACCCTGGGATCAGTAGTCTTATGCTTTACCTACTGAGCCAGCCAGGAACCCTGGACCATCTAGGATCTACTTTTGGTATCTAAGACTAACTCTGTAACCTTCAGAAAAATCACTTTTTGGTTTTCCTCATGAGAAGAATGAGGTCCAGTTCATCTCTAAAATCATTCCATTATTACAGCTTCCACGTTCTTAATAGTATTTATTTGGGGGGAGGGACAAGGATAATAGATGACTATTTTAAATGATTCTAGTCATGAACAGTAGTCAGTTGTATAAATCCCCCTGGGTATCTTTTTATCTACGTGTTGGTAACTTTAAGGAAGAAAAAGTGAGACAAGCTGTAAGTTAAAAAAGAAAGAGTCCACTCTTCCATGATATTTAAATATTTATTTAATTTTAAAAATAATTTTCATGGCACCAGTGATTTTATGCTAACTACATACTGCATATGTAGAAAAAAGTACATTGCTTTGAAGGAAAATGTAACTTAGAATTTTTGGCACACGAGAGGTTAACAACTATACTTTTTAATGAAACTAAGAAATTCACATTTGCAGGTAGTTTACCTTCTACTGCTTAAAGATGCAGTACACTATCCTTTAGTAAGAGTTTTATTTCACTCTGATGGATGAAGCTATGGAAACCATTGTTTTTTTTTCTTACAATGAGATCAAACTAATTTTGAGAGAAAATGGGAGACATAGTGGAGCACGGTAAAACCAGGTTAAAAATTTGAACAATGTTTAATGATGGGGAGATACCAAAAAAAGACTAGTCACCAACAAAGGAGTTTTGTTATTCAAGCACTATTTGAAAAGCAAATCAAAGGAAACTTTACTATCTGTATTTTCTGGGGTAAGCCCTGGAAAAAACCCAAAAGTTCTGTTCAGAGAGCAAAATCCAGCTCCTGGAAGTGGTATGGACTATTGTATTGTTAGAACTCTAGACACAAGTAACATACCAGGAAATGGAATACTGCATCTTTCTTTAATGTGACTATGAAAGGTCGGTGTCAAGGCTATCACTCACTGCATAGAAACACCATATTCTACAGACTGAGGTAGGAACACTACACTAAAAGATAATCTGCTATGTTGCATAAGACAGTAGATATCCAGGTTACAACCAGCCCCCTATCTCCTGACAGCCTTTTCATCTCTGAGTCTACTTTTCACTTCCGTCCTGTGCTAAGTAAAGCCTTTCCTGTGTAGATGACAAGTGGCAGTGGCTAGTTGGTTCTAATGATCCCTAATTTTTACTAGGATCTCCCTCAGTTTGTCTTGTCACTTGGTAAATAGATGTTTGTAATTCTGCCCAAATTGTTGCTGGTATGGAAATGATCAGACATTCCTCTTCCATTCTTAGATTCTGGCCGAGTTTTAGCATTTCAACACTTGATCTTGCTCATCTTGGCATCAGATACCTCTTTGCTGGTTGGTTGTTCAAGCACCCTTTATACAAGCAACCCCAGTATCTCCACTGGGAAATGGTCCTGGATCTGTAGCAAGTAGGGAATGGGAGCAGAGCCGGCCCTCTTTCTGCTAACATACCTACTGGTAAGGAGCATTTTTATTGTCTAGATGGGGTTGGCAAATTACGGCCTGTGGTCCAAATTCAGCTCCTAAAATAAACTTTTATTGGCACACAGCCATTCTCCTTGTTTATGTATTACCTATGGATGGCTGTTTTTGTGCTATCACAGCAGAGTTGAGTAGTGCCACAGAGTATGGCCCACAAAACCAAAATAAAAAATATTATCTGGCACTTTACAGAAGAGGCTTGCCAACCCCTGGTCTAGATGAAAGGGCATTTAAAATTACACAATCCACTCCCCCACCCCGCACCCCCTGTTAATTCAGCAGCTGTTAATACTCTGTATATGGACATGATTCTGCTATTTCAGGGCACAAACTAGGGGAGAGCAAATCTACAAGTGACTCATTTGTGTTCTGCATTTGGGGCTGCCCAACATCATAGGGTGTTAGCAGTGGCTCCACTGTTGTGGGGTTCCCAGGAATAGGTCTACTGACCATCCTTAAATGAGTCCTCAGGCCCCAGATGACTTAGAAATCTCTCCCTGAGATGAAAACAAGATCTTATAAGTGGTTGTTAAGAGTTGCGGAGCTTGGACCTTGGACCCCACACTCACCCTTCACATGCTGTGCTTTTGTATGCTTCCACAGCTTCCCTCAGCAAGGATGGCAAATGCTTTCCTACAATTTTTATTTTCCTGATGCAGAGGATGACCCTAGGGGGCAGTATTTCCACATCTAAGTGTTGGTCTCTGCCATATTCACCTTCTTTCTTTCGTAGGCATCTTTTAGTATGCCTATTTAGATTCTTTTCCTGGTCCCTTCCAAGGCTGTTTGTTGATCTTGGAATTCTATTTTCTGAAGCTTTTCATTCTCAGGATCAGTTTCTTTCTTGCATCATTTAGTTCATCAGGCTCTATTTTCTTAATCCATAAAGTAAAAACAAAATATGAATTGATAAGAAAATAACATTTGTTGTTAAAATATAAATTGAAATAGTTTTTTTGCGGGGGTTGTACAAAATAGGTACTGCTCTCTGAATCTCAACAGTTTCTCAGGTACCTTGGCTCTGGTTTCTGTTAACTACACTTTGTCCAACATTTCTGACAGTCCTGTCTCTGGCACCACTGAATTCAACTAATGTCTCTGGAGCACTATAAAAATCTTGAGGTTCTTCAGGAAAAAAAAATCACAGAAGTCTAATAAGTTCATTATACAAAACTCATGGTGATGCCCACTAGGATCTAGTCTAAGGGGACAGACTTACCCCACCCCTGCTCCTGCTGCTGCTGTAGCGGTGGTCCCTTCAGATGCCCACTCTGCTCAGATTTGGAAAAAACAAAAGGAAAAGAAAATCCAACTCAGACCATCATAAGAAGCAACTTTCCATTTAATCATTCTGTATGGATGTTTACTTTTTAAAAATCTCTGGCAAGAAAACCTAGATAGTTCCCATTGTCCAGACCCCTGGCCTGCCCTGCTGAGGCTGCACTGCTGAGTCTCCTGGAGCCCAGTAGGAAAGCTCCTGCAGAATACAGAAGACAACAGCTCTCTAGTCTTCAGCTAGTGTCCCATCTGCTAGGTGACACTACTGCGATAATCAGTAATAGTAAAATAAATTTTTATTTGATACTTTGAAAATAATACACATCTATGAAAAATCAAAATTCAAAACCAAAAATTATCCTGCAAATTGGGAGGATGAGAAACAGAGTCGCTGAGCCTTTCTTGAAAGAACCTCTGAAGGAAATGAGTTTTCCCAGTTTGTTTAGACAGGACATGAGCCTATCCTTTTTTTCTTCTGGGAAATGACCCTCCTAGGCTGTGGACTTTGAGTCATGAGAGGAGGACTTGGTACATGTGCCGATGGTTCCGCGATGGGTCCCATTGCTGGGAATGGGTAGCCAGGCTCCTTGGTCCACCTGGCTAGTTATTAGGAGTCATGCCTTCTCAGGTGTCAATGAGCAGGCTCACCACTGAGCGGATTTTGCAGGCAAACCATCGCCTGAGGGGACAAAAGTATTGATAGTGGAATTGTTCAAACTCGGGGGTCTGGCGGATATCGCGGAAAAAGGCAATGTCAAGGTCAGACTCAGTAAGGATGATCAGGAGAAGGAGCAAAACAAAGAGGAGTCCCATGGTCACAAGGAGCAAACGGAGGACACTTAAAACAAACTTATTCACCTGTTCCTCCTCTGGCCTGCCGTGCCCCTGACACAGGGCCCTCAGCTCTCCCCCAAGAGCCTCCACCTCTGCAGCAGTTGGAGTGCTGGCCTCAGACTCCTTCTCCTCTTCGATGCTGCAGGTGGCCCCATTGATCTGCCGGGAAAGCAGCATCAGCTCCAGGCTATGCTCGGCCACAGGGGTGGGCAACACACTGTCTGCAGGGCTGTAGGCTTCGTCTGCAATCACAGCGACTCGCTCGTTGCTGTCTGCCCGGCTGCTTCTCACGTGAGGCAGGAAGGTGTCCCCATGGGAGGAAGAACGCACTGGGGTGGAATGGGCACTGTCTCGTAGGGACTCCAGGCCTGCAAAGGCAAAAGGAATAGGAGTAGGCTTTCTGGGTCCCAGTGCACACTTTGCTGTCTGGTGGAGGCACACCCATTCTGTTTTAGGTTGTTACTAAAAGTTTGCAAGGAAGTCCTTCTGCACAGCCCATGTGATCAGCAGCAGTGGCCACTACACCGTTTTGATGTATCAGGAATAGGATAAAAGCAGCAGCAGACATGAGAGTGGCTGTGGTTGGAAGGGTTTTTTTTTCTTTTTACTTAGGGTTTTAGCAAGATTTGTTAAAGATTCTGCCTTTCTGGCTTTTGATGTCCTGGGCCTGGTTTTAGCCCCAGTTGAAAGACAATCTGAATCACAGACTATCCCTGATTCAGAGCTGGGGCCACAGTTCAGGGAGGTCAAGTCTCCCTCTTGGGCTGAGTGCCTTGAGAGGCAGGAATGGGGAGAAGATTGTTTTGCTTTACTGGGCCTCATCAAATACTGATTCTGGAGCTGCATGTCCTTCTAACAACCCAGCAGGCAGCTCCTTGAGCTCATGAGGTCATCTTTTGGATCGCTGCTGCTGGTCTCTTCAGCCTCCCACTTCTAGCTGTCCTGATTTTAGGGGATGTGAAAACCCTATCTGCTCTTCCTTAAGTGGTCTCTGATGGAGAAGGGAATAGCCCCTGGCTAGCTCTCTTTCTTTTCACCTTAGAATGAGCTGGGTCCACAGGAGGCTGACAATTCCCCTGTCTTTACACACTCAGAGTGCAGAGTGGTCTCTGAGAAGATCTTGTTGGGTCAGGGTGGAAATTGTCCTACATCCATTCTGGGGATGGGTCCTCTGCCCCCTAAAACTACCCATTATCTCTCTGCTTTCTCAGATGGAACATTTCTGTCTTTCCACAGCTCAATCTCTGGTAGTGAAAAACAGGAGCTGGTTACTTTGTGAAGTAAACAGCAGCCACTAGGCCGGAGGATGTGGGCCCAGAGTCACCAAGTATGGCCCACATCACAGTGCTCTCAAGGAAATGGCTTCTTGTTTCAGGTTCAATGTCTGCATTTTCCATTCCTGGCTACCTTTTTTTTTTTTTTTTTAAGATTTTATTTATTTGACAGAGAGGACAAGTAGGCAGAGAGGCAGGCAGAGGGAGAGGGAGAAGTAGGCTCCCTGCTGAGCAGGGAGCCTGATGCAGGGCTCGATCCCAGGACCTTGGGATCATGACCTCAGCCGAAGGCAGACACTCAACCAACTGAGCCACCCAGGCGCCCCCATTCCTGGCTACCTTGGGGGTGCCAGAGTGGCTCTGGCTCTCCCTGCATTTGTGGCCAATGGCAAGAGAAGCCAGTCCCCCTTTCATTGCTCTGAAATTGACCCTGACTTCTGCAAGACTGAACCAGTTCCCAGCTCTGTAAAGGTTTGACCTAACTAGGGCTGATTAGGGAGTTTTTCAGTTCAGGGCTAGCTTCAGAAGCCCAAGGGTCTCTCTTTAAAGGTGGCAGTAACCTTTCAGAAGTATTGAGTTTCATTTGGTTCTCTTGTGGTGTAGCCATGTGTACCCAGGCAGCCTGCCTGCCTGCCTAGCCTGCTGGAGCCCATTTCAGCCTAGGTGCAGTTAAGGGCTCTCCAGGGGAACAAACCCTGGGTTATAAACGGGTGGGTTGGGGTGGCAACAGCAGCCCCCTGCTGTCCACCTATACTCCCCATCACCTCATCATCAGTGTATTTGCTACAGCTCTCAGCTTCTGCTTTCAGGAGCTCCTCATGGTCCTAGTTGTATTTTGTTTTCCCCTGTGCTAAAATCTTAAGTTTGTATGTTTTAAACTTTTTAAAGTGCTTTCATCTTTCCACGAAGTCGTGAAGGCAAGAGGTTACAGAGCTTGCCTAATGACATGTGGTTGGTTGGTAATGGGAAAGGCAAGGATAGACTGCAAGCCTGTTTCCTGATGCTAATGATCATGTAGTTAGATTTTGGGCCAGGATGAATTAAGTCTACAGCCTTCACCTGCCTTAGATTTAGGTCCCAATTGCCCAAGAAACTGTTGTGAAATAATGTGAAATTAAGAGCTTGCCCCTTGTTCCAGAGCTCTTGATGCTCCTTTGATTCCCCCCCCACCCCCGTTTTTCTCCCTTATTCCTGCATTTGCATAAGCAGCATGAGGAATATATACCTGGTAGTATGTAATGAGTCCCTGATAGAACAGAGACCTTTAGGCCCTGATCACACATGTGTTGGTTCAGCTCCTTTCCCACCCACTCCTCCACCCTCCTTCCTCTGGAACCTCAGCACCCCCTGTACAGGGCTCCTCATAATCTTTCTAAAGGGTGTCTCCTCACAGAGACAACTCTACCAGATCTTCCAAAGCACAACCAGCTTAGCTACCAGAAGCCACTTCTGCACAAACTTAGCTTGGCCTACAATTCAGCCCTAAGCTTGCTGGGGAAGGAGAGAGGCAAAGGCTGTTACATCAGAGAGAACAAATCAGACAGACACCAGAAACCACATTATAAGTTGTTGGTGCTCTCAGTAAATAAGATAATGGATATGTATGCATTGCTAGTAAATTGCTTGACAGACAAAATTGCTCAGTGTTAGTTTTCTGTTCCCTCAACAGACCTCACCTGTAAGGTTATTATTGCTATGTCAGGCTAGTCTTGTATAGAACTTCAGGTTCACTAGAAACCACCACCCCTTCATCAAGCCCGTTATTCTGGGATGGACAGGGTGGGTACCATGGGTGGGAGCTGGCAAATGGCACAGCAAAACAGAGGAGTCTTTTTTACCTTGGATGTGCTCCAGCTGATTGCCTTGCCCAGAGGTGGCTTCCTGTGGGCGGGGGGGCACAGTGGTCAGGAGCCTACCCTGGAGCCGGGGCCCCATCCTCACGATGCGTACACTCAGTGGCCGAAGGCAGTGATTAGTCAACCGGAGCTGAACTCGGACTCTGGTGTGAATCTTAATCAGACTCTTCCCCATGGTGGCCCAGGCAGGCAGACACTTCTTCAGTGGAAACCAGCTGATCTCTTCATGGAAACCAGCCAGGCAGGGGGGATGCAGAGGGAAAGGATGGAAAACCAACTGGGGACAAAGGATTTTTGCTGACCTCAAGCCATGGCAGCTCGTTCACAGTGCCTCCTGTGCTGGAGAGAGAATGTCAGCTCTGCGAGACAGAACAGGCTGAGCTTCAGGGAAGAACAGCTCTGAGAGGCCAACGTTATCAGGGACTGGATTCAGTCAGAAGCACTTAGAGCCATAAAAAGTAATGCTTCCCTAGCATGTGACTGTTTCTCGGAGCCCCGTATAAGGGCCCCAGACTTCTCAGAGAGTGAAGTACCGAGAGGGCAGAGAACAATCCCACAGGGTAGGGAGCATCCCATAGTTCCAGAAAATGCAGGATGTGAAGCTACAAAGACATTGGGCTTTGGGTTGGGTGGCTCTGAAGTGTGAGGTGGCAGCTCTGGGGTGGAAATGGGCTGTGTCCCATCCACTGGGCTGTATGCTATTTGGCTCCCTGCTGCTGAGCTGTGCCCCGCAGGGTGCAGTGGATAAAAGGAATCAACATACCCAAGCATCCTCTCTGGCTAAGCCTGTGCTAACAACACGTGGTATCTTGGCATCCCTGAGAGCAGAGGGAAGGGCCAACCAGTGTACCATCATCTTTTTAACGGCCCCAGCTCATTGGAATTACATGGTCTCATTCAAATTGTAGTCTTATGTTACTGTTTTTGCAATTTTCCCATTGTTTTTAGAGATAGCAACCAAAGCTTTCCCCCTGGGAAAGGCAAATAGTTTCTGTGACATTAATTTATTTGCCATATGGACAATAGGAAAGAGTCTCTGATGCAGCATGAACCACTTTCAAATGTCCATAATTTCGTGGGAGTTTTGGTAGTTAGTGCCCTTCTTCTGAGACCCTTCATCATTTCTCTCAGCCCTTCCCTGTCTGGTTAGGTGTACAGTGAGGGTCAGCTATGTTTGCTGGGCGCTTTAAAGGTGAAACCCCTCTTGAGAGATGGTGTAGCTCAGCTCTCTGGGAAATAATCCATTCTTTATCTCCCCAGGCTTGATAATCCCTGCACTGATAGAGCCACTTAAATGCTAAAATCTTTTTTTTTTTTTCCCCCTACATCCAAACCAGATGTCCATCTGCCTCTCCTCACTGTGAGCCTGTTAGTGTCATTCCTGCTGGGGCAGTTCTTAGCTGCTTCTACTTTTGTCCTCCTGAATCTAATGGGTCCTGGGCTGAGGGCCATGACTGGGGATGAAGGCTATTCTTGTGTGTAGTCAGCCTCAGTCAGGCATGGGGTGTGAGCAGCAGGTTGGCTTGCTGAGTAGCACACGGGAGCCTGCTGTGCTATATAGTCTGCCAGGCATGAACTTCCATGGGGGCTGAGATGGTGACGGTGTGCCCTGGCCCTAGAAGTCTCTTCTTTACTAGCTTCCTTGGTGGCCTTCCCCTGCTGCACCCTCCCCTGGCATTTTACAAGCAAAGAGGACTATTTCGGATGCTGAGGAGACTACTGCTGCTACAATGGGAGAAGACAGCTTCTGGGAGGATGCTGGGGGCACAGCCAGAGCTGGTTGGGAACTGGGGCAGCCTCGTAGCTTGTCTTGGGAGAGCTCAAGGACCGGTTTCCCACTTCTTAGTAGTTCTGCTAACCCTGGTTGGCAACTACTATAAATGAGTTATACCCCAACATGGACAGCCTGTCTTCCCTTTTCTGGGAACATGGGTTTTACTGGACATTCTTCCATATGCTGGAGAACAAATGCAGATGGCTCTTCCCTAGACCTGTATTAGTGCTCAGTGTCAGAGGGTGGCCTTTTCTCTGGGAGGACAGCTGTTCTGACTTTTTACAGGAGCTTTGAGGTGAACCTGGTGCCTTCCGACCTCAGGATGGATAGGAAGAAGGGCCACGGGGGGGGGGGGGGGGGAGAAAGTTATGTTTCCTCAAAAGAAGAAATTCATTCTGTTTTCCTGAGATGAATGCCCCAAAAGAAGAGGGACAATGAGAGCTATGCTCAGTTCTCCGGCTCAGCCTAAGACTGGAGGAAAAACCAGGAGCCCGTGTCTGATGACAAACCTCAGTAACTTCATACTTTGCATAGCGATTATACTTCGTAGTTCAGAAGGCATCCTCCCACACCCACACCCCACTCTATGGTGGGGGCCACAGGCTCAGAGAGGTGAAGCAACCTGCCCTAGAGAAAGTACATGGCAGAGCTCTGATCCGAATCTCATCTTTGACTTCCAGAGCAGGCCTCTTTGCACTGTGCTTGTTCCCTGTCCAGTAAATGCTTTAATCTCTTTAAAGTACTTCTGTGTACATCAGGTTCCTCACAGCCCATGGGTAGGTACGCAAGGAAGATACCCCTATTTTACAAATAGAACAACTAAGATAAATAATTAAGGCACTTGATGTGGTTCCCCGGCCAGGGTTCTCAACCCCTAGACTGTAGTTATATGCCAGACTTAGATAATGCAAAGTCAGTGACAAATAAAATCCTAAACACAAACCCATGATCCTCACAGGGGAGCCGCAGAGTGATGTCCTTCCTAACCTAAGTAGTTCTTTATTTTCCTTAATCAGCATTCCCACAGAAAGGGCACAGAGTCTTCCCTTTCCAGGACAGGTTTGAAGCAAACCCACTGCTGTTCGTTGCAGCTTTAGATCTTCTGAGGTCCTACAAAAACATCTTCAGGAATGAAAGCATTCAACTTTATACCTGTGGGGCAGCTGAGTCAGTGACCATGAGGGAAATATTCCAGGAGTCTCCTAACAGTATTAACTACCCAGGGAGTAGAGAGGTATCAGGCTCAGCTACTGCAGTATCTATTCTGTGAAGATTCACAGACTTTGTCTCTTCCCCCCCAGGACCACCTTCTCCAAAGGGAGGGTAGGATAGAGAGAGGTGGGGCATATGAGATATCCCGAGATCATGTTAAAGAATTCAGATAGCAAGAGGACAGATTTCTCCCACTGAAATAGAAAGTGGTAGCAGCTATTAGGATGCTTCAGAACTAAGAGTTCATTTCTTGGTTAACTGCCTCAGTCGCCCTGATCATTTAAACTGTGGAGACTAGTCTGATCTGAAAAATAAGTGAAAAGCCTCTTGATGGAAAGCAATTTCAGAACTGCATGGAACCTGTTAGATGTAATAACACAGTCTCCCAAAGGTCTGGCCCAACACTCTCAGATTTAAACCCCCTCTTAGACTACAGCTTAGCAGGGTTGGGTGGGCTTATCCTTCACCTGACACCCAGCTGGTGTTCCCAACCACTGCATGAAACCTTCTCTCTTGCACTGGAGAAATGTGCTCCTGTCTCTAGTGCAACTTCTGTTCAAGGTCCCTGAGAGGAAGTGGTCCAAGTCAAAACTTAGAGGAACCCCATGGTCCTCTCCAGAGCTTATGCTCACCTTCCATGATGGAGATGTGAACAGCTCTTCTGCGGGTCCTGGGGACACTGCTCAGCCTTGGGCCATGGGTTATGGAGGGACAGCTGCGGCTGGGAACCATCCCTGCTCTGAGGTTAAAGAAAAAGAGAACTTTGTTAATTCAGTGCAGAGACAGATGTGGTCAGGACACAGAGTTGAGAAGTAGCTGCTAGAACTGCCTGGCTGTGTTAAGTTTTATTTTATTTTATTTTATTTATTTATTATTTAATTTATTTATTAAAAGTCTTTAATACCTATTTTTTGCCTTTAGTCCCTGGATTCCAGTCAGAGACCCTGCTTTAGACTCATCTCCCACCTCATATCCTAGACCCACCTGAGCCTTGCTTTAGTGCAGCAATGGTACCGCTGGTCTCTGGGCAGGTTTGTCAGGATGCAGAGCCCCAGCATAAGCAGTACTATAGAAAACATGCCTGAAAACTGATATGGCAGCCTCTCTGACTTCTGAGAGAGACTGCTGTTGGCAGGGGGTGCCATGTGAAGGTGGTAGTAATGCTCCCATTCCCAGAGATCAGGCTGGTTGGTGAACCCTAGCTGTCTTGGCCAATCATAGTCTTTCTGGATCTTACTAGGTTTAGGAGATATACGTGATGTGCAGTTACACATGAAGCAAGGATCTCAAAACTATTTTAGACCTAGTGTGGTAGGGCTGTGGGGCTATCCCTGGCTTTCTGTAATGGACTGATTCCAGAACTAAGGAAATCTTGCACTTTGGACATGTCCTCCATGGCCTATGACCACTTTTAGGATTTGGGAGGACAGTAGAGAAGCACCCAGGATGTGGTACTGGGTACTACGCCCTTCCCCGTGCTCCCTCAAGGCTCAGGGATACCAGGGTCAGACTGTTGCCCATGCCTTTAGCTGAGATGGATCTCTTCACCTTCCTGCCGTGTTCTCCTTCCCCTTTTGTGAGAGCCACTGCATCCAGAATCTTCATAGTACTGAAACTGCTGCCTTTTTGGAGCTTCTGGGATCTGAGCTCAACTGGTTTGGGGGAAGTCCGTGGCAGCCTACCTGTGTATTTCTGGTGGCTCCCGTTTGATCTTCGCACTTGACTCCATTACTTCCTTTGCAACTCGGCCACTATAAATAGTATAATAAAACAAGCAGCAAGGGATGAGACGGTGTTCTAGCACCAGGCTCCTGTCTAAGGCTTCAGATACTTTGGATGAACTGGGAGGTGGCCTCTTTGGCCTAGCCCTTCCCAATGTTTAGGTCACTGAGAAAGGCTTGCTTGCTGGGTAAGTTCTAAGATGTCCTGACAGCTTATCTTAGAAAGCTCTCTATCTCGAGTCGTTGGGATTTTCCATTTTCATTTAGAAATGATTTCTCATTGTCCAGCATGTTCCAGAAATATTGCAAAAAAAAAAAAAAATCTTTAGACAGACATGAAAAGAATCACTGCTACAGTTCTTATTTCACTGCTGTTGTGAGGGCAGAAGGAGAAGATACATATTTAAACCCTGCAGACAAACGGTGGCAGGGAAGGAAAGAAATAGTCAAAAGGACAGGAGACAGGAGAACTGGATGGGAACCTCAGGCTTTTTTGGAGGTTCCCAGTTTCTTTGTTCTCAAGGATAAGGACCACTGAGCCACTGTTCTCCAGAGAAGGGTCTGAAAATAGGTCCATAACAGTTACTTACTGTCACTATTTACCTGTATCGGAACCGGCTCCCTTTAAAGAATAAATTGCTGCTGGACACTGTGCGGACTTGGCTTGACTTCTCCAGCCTGCAGCAAGGCAAAGTCCAGTGTGACAGATGGCCTGCAACTGCCCCACAGGCTAAGGCAGCGCATTCCCAGCTCCTTCCAAAGGCTACTTGAGGAAACTCTTCAGGAAAAGGCCTTTCACAGCCCGGCTTGTCTCTGACTTTCCTTTAGGACCTGAGAGCTTCCTCACAGCCTTAGTGCTGGAGACAGTCATGTTGAAACCCATTTTCACGTCAGGAGTGTGAGGGCTCCCCAAGAGTGCTTCATGGGGTTCACCAGGGGGACTGAGACTAAATGTTATGGATGGTGGTCTGGGGGAATAATAGAATGCCACTCATCAAATTTCAGGCCATTTGTTAGCAATGTGACCTGGGGCAAATCTCTTTCCTTTCTTAGCTTTGGTCTTCTTATCTATAAAATGATGGAGCTACTTGACCTCAGGAGTCCTTTCCAGTCCTAGTATTTGATGATACATGTCCATGTCTGGGTAATTGTGGGTGGAAAAGAGAGTACGGGCTGCCCTTCCTATTTCATCCCCCTCTTGGAGAGTCATAAAATATGTTCTATTAAAGACTCTGAGAAGTCCTAAAATGAACAAACTAGCTTAACTTTAATATAAGTTCCATCATTTATTTGAACTTGGAATCATTCCCCTTCTCGCAGTAAGCCTATTAGCATCACTTTCAAGGCTGTAGACAGCTGATGTGGAGGCTCTGGAAGGCCATGGGCACTGTAAAATATCCTCTTAGGTGACTTCTCTGATCCCAAATGGCCTCTCACACTTAGAAAAGGAAGCTGGGGAGAACCATCCAGAGTGAAGCCTCCCAAGACCTGACTCAGCTTACAACATGCCCTGAGGTGCCTGGAGTGCTGATCTAGACAGGAACCGATCTGGGTCTGAAGCCTCTGTCATGAGCAGGCAGTCAGTATTTAGGGAGCTGTCTCCCAAATCCATGAATAGCAGTTCCTGGGAGATACCATCCCCACCTGTCTCAGGGTTCTGTGAGGCTCTGAGTCTCCTTGTCTTCTTGCCCAAGCATGTCCTTGAGTCTAACCTGCCTCCCTTCAAAGTACTAGGCCAACGACAGGGCCAGGGATCTGCACGTGAAAGGTGCTCAGGGTGATGCCAAAGTGGCTGCTGCTAAGACTTGGCACAGTTGGGGATCTGACCCCAGCTAGAGGCTTTTAACACTTAGTAAAGAACATTAAGTAATCAGTGGAAAAGTGAAAAACAGCCTCAGTTTCCACTGAGGGTGTTGGCAGGACTAGTGGGGGGGTGAGGGCTTTATTAATGGAAAGACTCAGACACTGAGTTTGGTCACAGATGCAGAAGCACAGTTCTGTTCCCATGACACAAAGAGAAAAACAAAGGTCTTCAGAAATGGTGCAGACATGTTTTCTTGGCTTTCCTTGGACAGCTAGGGACTGAACAGGAGGGAAATTTGACCATGCAAAAGTCTTTTTTGAGTGTCTTCTTCAGAAGATGAAAGAAGCCGACTCAGGTTATAATTCAGGCTGCCCATTCTGCTCATCCCTGATTCTAGTATCAAATGCATAGAAATTATTAAGCAATTCAGAAAGCCTTTCCAAGAAACAGCATCTGGGGCTGTGGCCCTAGAAGGAGGAGAACCAGTTCTGCCAGCCAGCATCCCATAGCAGCCAGCAGGCAGCAGCAGGAGAATGGTACCCCTCCAGCTCAGAGCAGTTCTGCTCTCTTCAGGATCCTTGAGGTTACTGGAGGGAGAACTATGGCTTGTCAGAGGCAGAATATACCACAGACTTTGTCTTATGTTGTCCTGATTAAGATACAGCTTATTAAAGTATAAATCATTGCATTCTATTTTTAAAACAAGACCAAGGGTTTTAGTAAAACATACTTTATCTGGCGTCATCCTAGTTTCTTGATGGGCTATTTCTTTGTTCCCTAATGCCTTTATAACCACTTTCTTAATCAAAACAGCACAGAAGCCTCATATACTTTACAAATCCTGTGGTAATCAGAATTCTTGCCTTTGGCCCAAAGCTGGCTTTTCCATAACAGACAAGTCCTTGCCCCCCTTCCTGCTACCCTGCTCAGGCTCCTGGGCACTTGGGTCTGTTACTGGCAATACCTCTGGCAATGACCCATCAGGAAGGGCTAGCATCAACCCCAGCTCAGCACTAGGCCACCCACTGGGGAGCAAACCCCAAAGGCTCTCCAAGGCTTAGAGATCTTTCTGGCCTGCCTCTGCTCCTTCATGGAGCTGTCTGTCCTTTTATGGGCCTCCTGTGGCTCTGAATGGCTCCACAGGGCCAGCTTGATTCAAGTCAGGTACCCAGGGGCTTTTTTAGGCCCAAGCCTTGCCCCGAAAAGACCCCTAACTGCTTTGCCACCGGGAGCTGTCCAAGGACGTCACAAAGTGGACCCCCTGGACATCTCTACTGGAAACACATTCCTGGACCTCAGTTATGTCCCTCTAGGGAGTACAGACATCCAGAAAGGGGTCTGAGTTTTATAAGGAAGCTCAGCCTTGTCATCTTATGTCTCCTTTCTCAGTGTTCCTCAAACTTTCCTGCCCATCGTTACTCTAAAAGTAGCTTTTATGCTTGACTCTGATAAAGATAGTCCCTGTTGCCTATGTCCACTCACTTGTAGAAGGCTTGGTTCTCGATTCCACATTTCCAGAGGTGCTTGCAGGCTTCTGGAGTTGGAGCAAAATATGTGAGAATAATTTTCTTTTCCTACAAAAAAATCCCATATAGAAACAGCTGAGTGTGGATGGAGAAGCAAAGGGTGAAATGGCCATAGGACACTGACCCCTGGACTGTCTGAGGGCTCCCCAGGACTGCAGGAAGAGATTTCAGATGGGGGAAGGAGCTGCCTGGCAGCTGGCTAATTGGAAGAGAAGGCCTGCAGGACCCACTGGGGCAGAGCTCAATTCAGTAAGTTCACACCTGGCAGGCCCAGTACAGTAAGCCTCAGCTCGTACAAACTGAAGCAAGACAGCCCTCACCAGAGAAAGTGTTAGTGTCATTTGGGATTTTTTTACTTCTTTTTAAAAGTTTATTATCTTCTTGGAATTGTCATATAGAAGCAAAAGAATCTTGCATTGTCTGCATTTCCTGGAGGTACAGAACCTCTGGGTGTCACCAGCATCCCGGAGAAAAGTCCTGGGCTCCAGGGCCTAGCCATTTCTCCATCCCTCACCTTCAGGTCTAGGCTTATCATTCAGATGGCTTAGTTCTACCTGGATACACCACTTTGGTTCAGTCCTGGCCATCAGGAACCCTCAGTGCCCCAGCCCTCCCTGAAGAGAAAGAAGCCAGCACTCACCTCTTTCTGACTTACGTATAAATAGAAAGTCTTTCCTTCAAATTTCAGCTTGGTCACCTCATTCCTACAAGCACAAAGGAAGCACCTGTCACCTTGTTGTGGGCTGCTTGTTCACAGCTAAGTCTTGTAGATGCACAGCCCACCCTGACTGGAAGGGGCTCCAGGCACAGACACAGTTTTAGCCAAAATTAGAACTGAAACAAGACAGCAGCGCAGTGGCCTTAGAGAACAGTTGCTGAAACAGTTCAATCCACAGTTTTCTGGTCCATCACACTATAATAATGGGGTGATAGGAGGAATTCGGGCTCATCAACAGTGGCTGTAAGAGGGAAACCTTTGCGTGGGAAGGGAGTCTAGGTTGAGTGGTCCCGGGCCATTTCAGGGTTTAGTTCATAATACAGGCGCATTATCTGGATGGGACTGTCAAACGTAAGGTGCCACAGGCAGCTGATGAGGCCAAAGTTCAAGATACAGCAAATGATGAAAAACAATGCAACCAGGTTCTGAGGGAGTTGAGTCTTTCAGGTGACTGTGCCACTGGATGGAAAATGCAGTTTAACGCAAACAAATGTCAAACGATCTCGGGGGGGGGGGGGGCGACATACCAAAGAGAGAGAACAGGTTACGTGGAACAGTCATGCAGCGAACTGACCAGGAAGGGGCTTAGGGGTTTTTGTAGGAAAATCCTTGAAGCCGCCAGCCCAGTGAATGGCTGCAGTGAAAGAGGCCAACAGGAGACTGGGGTACGTCACCCGCGGGACAGGCACAGATCAGAAGCAGCGACATGGTTACTGTACACGGCACAGCTTAGACCTCACCTTCACACGCTGCTCTCAGCCTTGCTTACATTTACAGAGTGGCAAAATGACCAGGGTCTTGGTGGATGTCCCTGAGAGCCAGGGAACTAGGCCTCAGCATCGGTCCCTCCTCGCTTCTCTTCCATTTGCCTGACAGCTGCCCTTTGGATCCTGAAGGCCCTTCCATCTCACTGGGGGGCGGAGTCCTTATTTTGGGACCCAGCTGGGACCCCCAAGGAGGTCAGACCATGCCTAGTTGCCTCTACTTGGCTTTCTCCCTTTTTGCAATCTCTAGGGAGATTTTCTCAATGTCTTAGGAAGCAGCAGAAAGGTAGTGAGAACCAGGTACCTAATTTACTACTGGCCAAAATTTAGGGGACAGAGGAAGGTCACTTGCTTCCTAGAAATCATGGCTGGGTCAGGATGAGAGCTCACAGTTTGTGACCACCAGTTCTGAGCTAATACAAGCACATGGTATTCCTTGTTTGAATCCCTCCCATTCAGTCTCTCTCATACACATTCAGAATACAATAAATATTAGTTAATTAATATGTAAACAAATACACTGATCATCTAGGCTTCAACAAGCAAGATAGGAAAGTAAGGAGCATTCTGTTGAAAGTGAGGTTAGGTCTACATCTGTTATTTTAAAATTGAGACACAGTGAAAAGGAGACTTCCTGAAGAAGTGGGATGTGAGAGAAGACACAGAATGAAAAGTGTTGGGGAGAATCAGGTGAGCATGAGGGCTTCTGGATGGGGAAGGATACTTTGGACTGCAGGGCCCTGTAACAGGTGTGTCCTAATTGTTTCTAGCTACACATGCCCTCTACCAGGAACCTCATGAGACAGCTACCCTGATCAGGGTGTGGGCCAGCATCTGGGCCCTCTAAGCGCTATCAGACAACCCGGCTATATCCAGGAAGCAAGTGCTCCTCACTGGGAGAGCAGTGGCCTGACCCTACTCATTGCTTTTTTCTGAAAAGTATTTTCTTAGAAAGGAGACCCCAAACCCTCACCATTGTCACCCAAAGAGCACAGTGAGTGGGCCAACTTCAGAAGGCCTAGCAACGAGCTATTTTGGGGTATGCCCTGGTTACTCAGTGCAGCAACCTGCCTTGTGAAGTGGCTGTTTTCCTGGGGGATGGGTCCTGACTGGTCGTGTCTGGGGGGCACTTCCATTAGCACTCTGGTTGATGATCATATTGACAGACTGCACAAGAGCAGTAGGGTTGGAAAGGTGCTATCTGTCCACAAGCTCAGTGGGGGAGCTGAAGAGGACACAAGAAGAGAGATGCCCTGCAGCACCCCCAACAGAAAGCTCGCCAGGAAACCACTTTGTCCTCAGATTCCCCATCAGCTCTTCTGGAGAAGGCAAAGGAACCAAGACAGGAGCAACCTTCCCCAGCTGAGCTCTGCTGGGCAAGGTAAGCCATTTGTCCAAGCTCAGGGGAGGAGTTGGCCAGCTTAGACTTGGCAGTCGAAGGCCAAAAAGGTACAGAAATCACAGGGGCTTAGTAGAATATACAACATGTTCTGATGAGGCTGAAAGATGTTTGCAGGCCAGAAAAAGGGGCTCCAGGAGAGCCAAATGTCCATCAATAAGGCAGTCTGTGCTGCATCAGCTCCCAGAACCATCCAGAACAGACCCAAAAACTGACAGGGGAGAGAGGAAGTAGTTCAGAGTAGCTTCAGCTCAGGCAGTAGCTCTTGCCTGCTAGAAATGGGGGTGGGAGGAGGGAGAGGGGAAGATAGGTGGGGATGTGACTCCTGGAGGCTGAAGACACCTGAGCCCTAAAGAGGGACAGGAGAGAGACTGGGCAGCATTTTGTGCTTTTGCAGGCAGTGCCCACAGTGGGGGTTGGCCTGACGAGGGGGTTTTGCCAAGGACAACTTACATCTGGCCTAAGGATGGGGATTTTGCAAGATAACTTACATCTGCCCCAAGGTGAGCCCCTCCTCCCTTAGGCCAGTGGTTAAGGGAGTAAACAGCCATGCAGATACTGTGGTCCTCAGTGGGGGACAGTCCCAAGGACTCATTTCTCGTAGGAACTTTGCCTCCCTAACATTGGCTCCGGCCCCGGGTCTCTCATCACACCCGGAAATCAACCCTCTACACTCTTTCTCTCTCTGGAGAGGCTGTTGGCTCTCAGGAACACCCCGTTGGAAGAATAGGATCCCTAGGAAGAGACCACTACCTTGATCAGTTACCATTATGGATGCAAGGCTTTGAGGGGGCTGAGAACCATAACTTGCCCAATCACAGACAAAGGACATGGGAACCATAGCCCTCCCCAGCTGGTGAGGTATAAAAGGCCTGTTTTGGAAATGAAGATACTCACCATTTAATGAAGTGGACCCTCTTGTTTCCTTGCAGAACAACGAACCCGAAAGGAGTAAAGGCCAGAAATGCAGCGTTTCCTGACACATCCTGCAACACAGAAGGACCTCTCATCAGGGTGATGCAGGCATAGAGGTGAAAGGGTGAGAAACGTAGTTGTTCATCGGTGATACAGGGTTAATATGTGGCAGTAGGTCACAGAGGGAAGAGCATTTGGAAGTAACAGGCAAGCTATTTACCTTCCCTAAGCTTCAGTGCCCTCAACTGTAAGTTGTAACAATCTTAGAAGGCTGTTGTGAACACGCAGAGAATGGCAAGCCCTCCCACACTGCTGGTGGGATTATAGAATGGCGCAGTCACTTCAGAAAGCAGTTTGGAAGTTCTTCAAATTGTTAAACATAGAGTTATATGACCCAACAGTTCGTTCCACTCCTAGGTACCCAAGAAAACTGAAAACACGTGTTCACACAGAAACTTGTACGTGAATGTTCATAGCAGGATTATTCATAACCAAAAAGAAATAATCCAAATATGCATCAACGGAAAAATTAATAAATAAAGTGTGGTACATCCATACAGAGGGATATTACTCAGCAGTAAAAAGGCATGAAGTAGTGACATACGCTATAACATGGATGAACCTCGAAAACATTATGCTAAGTGAAAGAAGCCAGTTATAAAAGATCACATGTTGTATGTTTCCATTTATGAAATGTCCAGAATAGGTAAATCCATAGAGAACAAAGATTGCTGGTTGCCAGGGCTGTGGGGAAGGGGAGATGGGGAGTGACAGCTAATAGGTGCATAACTCTGTTACTAAAACTACTGAATTACACACTTCAAAAGGATGAATTTTATGATAGGTGAATTATATCTCAAAAAAGCTGTTATCAGAGAGAAAGAGGATGAATGGCAGTTATTATTATGGTGGCCCTACACACCGGGCTTCTGCACAAAGTTTAGCTGAAGAAAAGATAAGAAGCCACCAGTTAAGTGGACTAGCCACCCATCAGTCTTATGGTGCCTGAACCATCAAAGAGGCCTCCTGGCCACTGGTCACTATCAGTTTGTCAATACCAGGCTTGAGGTTCTGCTGAGCAAATCCAGGAGGAGGTACAGCAGAAGCTGTAGGTCATGGTTCCCGCACGTGGGAAAATGACCTCCCTGAGAGCCAGGTGGGGGTGGGGCACAGAAAGCAGGTAGATGGATTGTGCTCTGTCAGAGGAACTTCCTTCGTGATAGGGCCCTTGGGTGAGAGACTGCTCTGTCAGAGTGTGTGTTCAAGTGGCCAGGAAATTATCCCAGGATGCTGGCCAAGTGTACATGTAGGACATCTGTCTGAGCCATAGCTCACATGATGCCATGGGGTCAAGGTCAGGCACCTGGTGTGAGGCATCCAAGTGGGGGCTGTGGCTGTCAGGCTCTCCTAGTCTCTCCCACTTTCATGGTTTGCCTCCCTGGCACACATCTTCAGCCTGATTAGGTCTAAGAATAAGAACAGTGGGGCCTCTGCAGGGCCTCATGAGCCTTGCCTCAAGGAAAAATGCAGTTTTGTCTTAAAACTGTCTCTTTGAGTCAGGGTTACAGGTGTGAGCATCTGGGCCTAGCGAATAAACTCTATGTTTTGCAAACATTTCCAATTAATGTATTGTTTTTATTGTCCTTTCCTCAGGGTCTTTCGTGATCCCCGACACTTGGCTGCAAGCACCGTGTCCTTCAACCCAGGGGCAACAGCAAAAAGCTGTTTAAAAATAACCTGAATGGAGATACCGTGAAGCCACGGGGCTGATTTTCCTCCTGCCTGTCATCAGTGCTTAGTGGTGGTTATTAATACCTGAGTGCCAGCACTGCACAAAGGCATGGTCCCTGGCGGGGGCACCAGTACTAACCCAGCAGGTTGGCCTCTGGGGGGGAGAATGCCTGGCCAACATGGGTGAGGGAGGGCAGCCTGCCTCAGATGGAGGGTGGGCACCGGGAGGCCTTCTGCTCATGGTGCAGGCAGGACCCAAGGAAGTCCAGAAACTGCAGGTTCAGAAAGTGACTTGAGGGTGGAAACCTTACCTTATTAGTACTCACAGAACAGGCCTGCAGGAAAGGTTTATCAGATGAATGTGTAAGACAATGAGGTGGGCCAGAGGGGCCAGGGGGAAGTACAAACGTGAACAAAAACAAGAGGGGAAGGCACAGGTGCAGCGAAGGTGGGAAAGGCATCTTACAGTGTTGTGAGAGAGAGGAAAGGCCTAGAAAGAATAGGTGGAAGGATGGAAAGGAAGGATCAGGTCAGCAGAGGATTGTGGGTGGCTAGAAATAATGGGTAAAGAGTAGGAAAGGGAAGCAGTGGGCTGGCCAGGGAAGGGCCTCCCTCTGCTTCTTGCACCCTTGACCCCGGTGGGCAAGAGCAGGGCAGAAGAGCGCCTGCCCCATGACCATAGTCATGGGCCCCGTGTCAGACCACTCAAGCCCAGGTTCTGGCTCTGCCACTCACTGCCTGTGTGACCTCAGCTAGGTCCCATCTCTCTGTGTTTTAGACTCCTTGTTGCAAAATTAGGGTTGATAATATTATCTATCTCTTAAGTTTGCCTGGAAGACACCGAAGGACATGTTAGTGGTTGTGTTGTTGTTAATATGAGTTTGTTGAGCTTCATACAAAATCTTTGTAAAAAATGCAGTATTTTACTATTTTTCCTGATGTTGACGGATTTAAATTTTGCTAGTTAGGAAATGAGGGTGTGGGAAGTTGGGGTAGAAAGGGGAAGTCAGTCATTCATTGTTAGGGGCCCGTGGAGAAGGGGGATTTGGGGCCAAAGTGAAGTGGGCAAAAGGGGAAGGAGACAGAGACAGAGGCTGTGACAGAGATCTGTGAGAGTCGTCCCAGTGGCAGGCCTCTCTGGCCAGAGCACAGGGAAGAGCAGGTCCTCCCACAAGCTGGGCAGCACTGGCCAGGCTGTCTGTTGGCACTGTCATCTGCACTGTCCAGACACCTCAGGGCTGGCCTCTGGGTGAAGGCAGATGTTGGAGTTGAAGGGGAACAGCCTCTCCTGACCGTACTGGCTGATTTGGAACAGAGAGCAAACTGGGAATAAACCCCAATTAGACGCCACATCATTCCAGTAAGTAATAATAGCCCCTTGAGCAATCCCAGTCCAGTCTCTCCCATGAAGAGATCAATTCTCCAAACTGCTTCCAATGCAACAGTTGTGGATGAAGGCTCCTGCAAAGCCTGGCACCTGGGTGTCCACCCGGGCGAGGGCAGCTGGAAGGTTTGCTACTTGTCTCTGGCATGTGAGGAGCAGACTTGGAATGACAGCGAGAAGCCTCACATCTGCACCAGCATGAAAACGCAAATAAGCAGCCACGCTGACACTTTCTCCGGAACCTTCCCAGTTTCTTCCATCTAACATGTCATTCTCGTGTGAGCCTGCCCTTGGGATTTGTGTGCAAAAGGACAAGTTATATGACAAAAAGAGAAAGAAATGAGGACGAGGAGAGAAGTGACACAGAAAGTGGTAACCTGTTCCTCAGATCTTCCATCTTATCAAGCTGGAGGCTATCTTTCCTCTCTGTCCCCTTCCTGTCCTGATGAGATTGGTACCCACAGGACTGAGCATTCATGGATCTGAGAGGTGGAATAAAAACTCAGTCTGGGAGGCCACACAGCACATACTGCCAGCCCCCCTCTGCATCAGATAATGGTCTAAAGTATTTAGTTCACTTCTGTAGTTGTGAGGCATAAGATCTGTTTTCAATTTCTCATCCTTGTGGAAAGAGCTTCATTCTTGGTTTAGGACCCTAGCCCTGCTTCTTATTTGCTATGTGACTTACTTAACTTCTCTGAACCTCAATTTCCTCATTTGTCAAATGAGGACCATGATATATACTTCAAGAAATACTACTACTATCTGATTTTAGGGTGACGGCCTACATGACTTACTGCCAAGTCATGGCCAATCGTGTTTTTTCTTGGAGGAGGGCTGGATTTGCATGGAGTCCTTCATATGTTCATGTAGAAACCACCATAAAACTCGACTGCATCAGTTTGACATCAAAGGTTCACCTTAAGATGATCACTCTGCCCAGAAAAGGATTTTTGGAAATCACAGCACTGACTGGTTCTGGGATGTAGGGACATCTGGCCACCTTTGCCCAGTCCCCGTGGGTTCCACCTCTGGATACAATGAAGTACGCTTCTGTCTGCTGCCGCCCCAGAGGACATCCTGGATATGCCAGAGTCAGAACCAGGGTATTTTCCCAAGATCATCCAGTTCCCTCTCTGGAGCATGACTTAAACTAATTCAACATGGGTGGGTGAAACCTTTGTTTTCAAAAACCTTAGGGAAGGGGCGCCTGGGTGGCTCAGTTGGTTAAGCGTTCGACTCTTGATTTCGGCTCAGGTCATGACCTCAGGGTCATGGGATCGAGCCCTGTGTCAGGCTCCGTGCTCAGTGGGGAGTCTGCTTGGGATTCTCTCTCCCTCTGCCTCTGGACCTCCCTCTGCTCACATGCATGCTCTCTCTCTTTTTCTAAAAGAAAAAAATAAATCTTCAAAAGAAAAAAAGAAAACCTTAGGGAAGAAGATTTCACATGCTCTTCCACACACTTAATGCCCATCCCCGAAAACTCATAGCTAGGAACCTTTACATTAAGTCAATCATGAAAATCACCCAGTGATATACTTAAACATGGTCACAAGAAGCCAGAGTGGAAATTAGGAGGCAACCCTGTAAGAGTCTTGGTGTCACCCCATTAAAGATCAGAAATGGAAATCTTGTCACATACTTGCCATCTAAGTGGCTTTAGTCAAGTTCTTCATCTCAGCAGTAAACCTACCACTCTCCCCACAGCGTAGCCAGGAGGGGCCCACCTGGGGATGAGGGCAAGTCATCGCTGATTCTTCTTTTTTCTTTCTTTTTTTTAATCGCTGATCCTTGTTCTTTTTCTCTGAGGTCGGGGGCAACTTGTCAAGATGGGGAAGGGGGTTTATTTAGAGAGGAGCGTAGGTGGCTGATTATGAAAGGTCAGAGGAATGACAATTTTATTTGTATGGTTCCTCTAACCTAGATCTTCTGAAATCAATTTTCTCCTGTGCAGAACAGACATAAAGCCACTTGGTGAACTTGCATTAAATTTTTCTGATGATTTCAGTGGTGTCATCGTTCTATCAGAATTGGTAGTGAGTCCTTCTTTGTTCCTAAATACATGCCATCTCCCCAGAAGAAAGACTATGAATGGTAACTGAAAAAGCACAGCATGGAGACTCAGGCATGTTCAGGTTTGAGTCCCTTACCAGTAACTCTGGACATGTTAGTTGGTCTCTCAGAGGCTCAGTGTTTTTGTTTTTAAGATTTTATTTATTTTAGAGAGAGAGCGAGCTTGAGAGAGATCACAAGCAGGGGGAGGGGGGAAGTGGGTAGAGGGAGAAGCAGACTCCCTGCTGAGCTGGGTAAGAAAACTGGGATCATGACCTGAGCCGAAGGTAGATGCTTAACTGACTGAGCCACCTAAGCGCCCAGGCTCAGTGTTCTTATCTCAAAATGAGGACAAGAACATCTTCTTGGCAGTGTTGTTGTAAAGAACAAATGAGATAGTATATATAAGTGCCGGGCAGGTGCAGGCTCTCAATAAATGGAACCTTCATGACTCATCATAAGGCTGGGTGCAGGATGGGTATCTGTGATGGGTCTGACCACTCCATAAACCTCAACAGGGCAAGAAGCCACAGTCTGGGCCTACAACAGGAGATCCAGGGCAAACAACCAGTCCCAGGGCCCCCTGGAAGGACCAAGATGGTGGCTCCTGAGGTTGGAGAGGTGCCAGAGTTGGGGAATAGATGCAACACTGGGCTGCCAGTGGTTTGCTCCATTTTCCTCCTCCTGCTAGGGGCTCCCGTCAGAAAATGGGGGCTGAGGGGCGATGCAGAGAGCTCAGGATAGCTTGTGCAAGTTCAGAACCTGGGTATTATTGTAAGCCAGCCAGCTGCTGGAGCCCTCTGGCTGTCCCACCCAGAGTTGGTAGGATCTCCTCTTCCTCGTCCCAGGGCCAGACAAGGGCACTCTGGGCAGAAAGAAACCATCAGTGTGGATAAGAACAGCAGCTTCTTAATCAGTCCAGGAGAACAGAGCCCAGCTGAAGTGTTGTTCTGCTCTCATTTAATTATCAAAACGATTCCTCTTCTGTCCTCCCTAGGGCTGCGTGCCCCAGATTCCCTGGGCCCAGTAATTGCCTCTCTGTTAATAGAAATCATCGGTATTTATTACACCGAGTGCTCCAGCTTGTTTCAGCTCTCCTTGTAGCAACATTAAGGCGAGTGCTTGGTAGCATATCACCAAAGTAACCCTACTTAATGACAAGAGTAAATGCTCCTGAACTGTTCTTGCTCAGGAGGGCTAAGGAAACTATGATCTGGAGCCCAGTGAGACGAGCTGAGGGGCCACGTGTGGGGTCTGCAGCAGGGCCCTGACTCTGGGGGAGCAGGAAGTACAGAGCCTGGGAACGAGGGGCTGGAAGCCCAGTAAGATGACCGCTCCCACCTTCTCCCTAGAGGGAGTCTCCTGGGGGCTTCTGTTCCTTATAGATACCTAACAATGGGAAGTGACTTGAGTTCAAATTCTTGGTCTCCTACTCAGGGCCTTGTACACTGTGGCCTCTTCTCACCTATAAGACAGGAAGAGTAAAATCCACCTCCCAGGGCTGGCATGAGGATTAAATGAGAAAATAATGCAAAAGGATTCCAGTGGGCCTGCCATGGGAGGCATGCCACAAATGTGTCTTCCCTCCTTCCTTCAAGGAATTGATGCTGTGGGGATGAAATGATGAGGGATTGGGCCTCACACAGTGCCTGTTATTAATAGGGGTTCCTTCCTGCAGCCTCTTCAGCCTCTGTCTGATAATGGACAAACTCATCAAAGGTGGGTCTGAGCCAGGAGCCTCACAGCCCTAGGGTACATGCGGACGTGGGCTGGACACCGGGCTGGCTGCCACTGTAGCTTCCAGATGCACATAGGCAACAGTTGAGAACCCTCACCCACCTCCACTCAGTTGTGCTCAGGTTCTGTCTACTAGCTGGCTTGGAGGTGACCTGGCACCTTATGGTGAAGATCGCTATCTCTAAGCAGCTATGTGTTTTAAGGTCCTGAAGTGACTCAGCAGTTCGTGGAGCACAGTCACTGAGTACCTTCTGTGTACTTTCACACAGACGCGGAAAGCAAGACTCAGAGAAGCCTACGAAGGCCTCAAGAAGCCAGAGATCAGAGCTGCAGCCAAGGCCAGCTGCTCTGAAGCTCTCTTCAGTCCTATGCAGTTTCCCTGCGGATAGTATCTGAGCAATTCGTGGATATATCTGTGTCCGTTCATACAAGGGCATTAGCGAATTCATTTGTAAATAACCATACTTTTTTTTTTTTTTGTACTAACAGGCATGAATGTGTTTTCTGACCGTGCTGGCCCCCGAGAATACAAGGGTTATCTGGCAGTGGGTTGTACTGGTGGATAGGGAACTGTGTGGAGTGGGAAAGGTGACCAGGGTTTCTGAGTGCCAGAATGTTCTCAAAGTTCATATTGGAAGTTTCAGCATCAAATCCTATGCAAGAACAGATCACCATCATCTCACCAAGAGGCCAAGGGAAATGCCACTCTGCACCTACATTACTGGGTTCCTTGCTTTCTCTTGTTTTTTTTTTTTTTTTCTTTTTTAAGATTTATTTATTTATTTGAGGAGGGGGCAGAGGGAGAGGGAGAGAATCTCAACAGACTCCTTGCTGAGCATGGAGCCTGACATGGGGCTCAATCCTATGACCCTGAGATTATGACCTGAGCCTCAATCAAGAGTTGGTCATTTAATTTTTGTTGGAAACTTAACGGTGTCCCCTCATTAGGAAGAAAAAGGTCAGTGTCCTCTTGTTCCCATAGGATACTGGCCTCCCTCAGATTAGTTTGAGAATCAGCTTTACTGGTAGTACTGTTTCCAGTGGTGGAAAGAGAGAGGCAAAAGCTGGGGAAACTGAGGCAGAGACCAGGAGTGTCAAAGCAACCAAGATGAGGAGATGAAGTGGAGGGACACAGCCACAGGGAGAGGGGAAGAAGCTGTGTCCCCCCACTGCTCTGCATAGTGACTGTGGCTGCTTGGGCTCTTCTCCAAAATGCCAGACACATGTGAGCAATTACAGAGGTTTCTCCTGGGCAGAGCCTTCCTGGCTGCTTCCTGTCTCCCCTCCCAGGCGCGTAACGGAATTAAGTGCGACTCCACTGCAGGTGCGCGTAGTGACTTGCGCTGCTGCGGGCAATAAACCCCGCTCTTGGAAAGAAACGAGAGTACAGGTCAGGGAAGGGCAGGCAGTCCGCTGAGCGGCCTCTGATCATTCCCCGTGGGGGGCCTTCCACACTCCTCTCTTCGTTTCCACAAAATTACCCACTGCTGCCAAAGCGGGGCCCCAGCTTTGGATTTGTTATTTAGATTGACTTTGCCTCGGACCCTCTGATGTTGATGTGGCACCACAAAATTATGCAGCTTGGAAGCCAGAGGCGTTTTCAAAAGGAGTGACACTTTTGCTGGCCTCTGTCGCTGAAAGAGCCAGTCAGCCAGATACGGAGGGTGGCTGGCGCAGGCATGTGCTCCTTCCCTGCCTGTTGGCCTCTGGAGGAGGCAAGGTCAGTGCAGCCTCCAACCACGGGGGTCTTACCTTACACGGGTGAGGGTCCACTCCGTATGTCTCCAGCGTCTGTGCTTTTCTTAAAAAGTTCAGCTCTGATGTTGCTGGTGTTTGACCACTGGAATAAAGAAAATGAGATGATTTCAGGGTTTCCTGTTCTCATAGACTCCCCTGAGGTAAACTCTCTATTAAGCAGCTTTCAGGGGGTGGCTCAGTCAGTTAAGTGTCTTGACTCTTGATTTCAGCTCAGGTCATGATCTTGTGAGATCGAGCCCCGTGTCGGGCTCCGTGCTCAGTGGGGAGTCTGCTTGAAAGATTCTCGCCCTCTGCCCCTTCCCCCCCCACTGACTCACGCTTTCTCTTTTTCTCTAATATGTAAATATATATATAATATATGTAAATATATATATGTAAATATATATATTATATATTATTATATTTATTTAAAAGCGTTCAGGGTAAGTCTTACACTCTGGTTTTTCCATAGAGTGTGCTCCCTGCCCTGTTCAGGACCAACTTCCAGAGATCCTTTCTAGGGTCAGAAACTCAGATGTCTTCAGACTGAGGCCGACTACATGACGAATGACATGGCCTGAGTGTAGACAGGAGGGAGTGGTGGGGGCTGGGCCAAACTGGGGAGTGCCACCTCACCAAATGAGGGTAGCAGCTCCAAGACTGTAGTCAGGTGGGGATGCGGGGCCCAGCACTGCTAGATGTTAAAAGCACTGCTTTTAAAAGGGAAATCAGAGATACTGCTTTTTATGTGGTATTTCACAATTTCAAATACTAGGCAGGCAAACAAAACACACTTGTATGCTGGCTGCAGGCCATGGGTTTCTTGTCTGATCTAGACTGAAATACAAAGAAGGGGCCTATATATCTTGCTGGTGCTGCCAACACGTTTCCTTTACCCAAAGGGAACATGGGAATGGAGGGTGAAGAGACAGCAGGAGACAGTGCTGAGCTCCCCAGTCTCCACAATGGCTCTGTTTGTCCACAGGTGATGACTATGAAAAGGAAACAAGCAGGAAAAGGAAGAAAGCAGCCCTAGTGCCAAGCCTGAGGAAGGGGCCTTTAGCGTCATTCCTTCTGCAGCTGCCTGTTCGCAGGTGCTTTCCTGAGCTCCACACAGAACCAGTGACAGGGTCACCTCAGGCGCCCTCAGGGTCCAGAGCCCTGGTGAAGCAGACACACTCCTACAGATGCTGGGTTGGTTTCACCTTCGAGGAGGGGTGAGCAGTGTGTCAAGTGAACAGCAGCTCTGACGGCTGGTGGGCAGGACTGAAAGTTGCCGATTTCTAAGTTCATTCATTATTTGTCGCAAGCAATATGGGCGCAGGAAGAGGAGGCAGAGCAGGGAGGAGCAGGCCAGATTCCCCCTAGTGTCCTTCTGCAGAGACATCAATCAGCACATTTCTGTGCCAGCCTCCACGCTGCTTGCTGTAAAATCTACCAAGAGATAAAGTGCCCAGTCTGGGCCCTCCAGGAACTCACGTTAGAGCCGAGGGAGGAAATAGACACATTTTTACATAATGAAGATGAGGCCAACCTGTGCAAGCAGGCATCATGTTGACTGCAGATTTCTACAGCCACCAGCACGCCTGAGGTGCGGAGAGGTGTTTGGGCAATGTCCGTGCTGCAGGCAAAAGGCTGGGCACCAGAGGCAGCTGAGCACCACTGCCCCTTGCAGGAAGCTTCTTCGGTCCCTGTCTGCAAGCTGGAGGGTCTTGTGGGCTCCATTCATTCCAGGAGTTGGCCCAAGCCTCCAGGGCCCTCAAAGTGGGCATCATTTCGTGGGGGATCCCCTGTCTCCTACTAGGTTTCTGGATGGCTGTCCCCACTGCTCTGACATGTAAAACCCTCTGCTTTGAACGAACCCTGAACCCTCTCAAAGGTCCACGTTTATTCTGACCTTTACCACAAGGGGCCGCTATTTCCCTAACAGTGATGGGAGGAGCCGGCCTGCTCAAGAAAGGCCACACCAGCACAGGGAGAGGGCTGGGGAGCACCTCTGATAGGTGTCTCCATTCCCCTGGGAGGGTGGGAGCCAGTGCAATATTAAGTTGAAGCTTAATATCAACATTAGAAATATCCCCCCCACCCCTTGGGCATTATCCTGCCCCAGGAAGGTAGTTTAAGCAAACATTTTAAAAGATTTTTAAAAATTGTAACATACTAATATGGTGGCATGTTTTATTTTATAGCACTGCATTGTGTATAGCCTTTTTCTCCATAGTTTATCAGTTTGGGGTATTTGTGCTCCAGCATGCCACACAAAGTAGAGTGCATACACACTACTGCTTTTTTAAAAAAAATTTTAGTGCACCTGGGTGGCTCAGTTGATTGGGTGACTGCCTTTGGCTCGGGTCATGATCCTGGGGTCCTGGGATTGAGCCCCACATTGAGCTTCCCCTGCTCTGCAGGAAGCCTGCTTCTCCCTCTCCCTCTGCCTGTCATGCCCCCTGCTTGTGCTCTCTGTCAAATAAATAGAATCTTAAAAAAATATACATATATATATATATATTTTTTTAAGGATTTATTTTAGAGAGAGAGCCTTGTGAGGGGGGAGGGGCAGAGGGAGAGGGGGAGAGAAGCAGACTCCCCGCTGAGGGTGGAGCCCATTTTAATACGGGGCTTGATCTCGTGACCCTGAGATCATGACCTGAGCTGAAATCAAGAGTGGAACACTTATCCGACTGAGCCACCCAGGCTCTATTGTTGTTGTTGTTGTTTTAATCAATCTTTGTAGAAAACCCTATATATATGGGTGAAAGGATACATTAATGCTATTTTATGGAATTTGGCATATTCTGGGCAAACTAAGAATCTGAGGAAGACAAGCTTCCTGCTTCCAGCTGCTTCTCCCCTCCTTCCCTCTGTGTAGGGCTGTGGGTTGAGTAAGGCAGTAGTGGAGACATAGCCCCTGAACCACATGCTCTCAGGGCACCCCCAGCGTTTATGACCCAGGCCAGCCCTGTGCAGTCCCATCCACTGACTCGGAAGCCACCTGTCAGCCTGCCACAGACTGAAGGTAGGGGCTTGCCCATTTTTCACAGGCCTCCGCTCATCTATTTTCTCTTCTGTTGTTTCTTTTATGTTTTCCTTTTTCCTAGTCCATGCTTCCCTCTCTCTCTCTCCATTTATCTTAGTGAAGCAGATACCTTTCAGAGGCCATCCCTCTTTGTTTTCCTTACACTGCCCTCAAGCCTCAGCCTACACTACAGGGCTTAGGGTTGTGCTGTCAGTGGAGTACTGAAAATGGCACATCCCAGAGTTAGGAGGACTGGGTCTGCGGGAGCAGAGGATGCAGCGCAGGACTTGTGTGTTCAGGCTTTGGGGGACAGAGTGTCCTGAGCCTGAATGAGTGTCACGTACCTGAGTTCTGTCTTGTGAATCTCAGCAATTTTCCTTTCCAGCTTCTCTGAATGTTTTGGGAAAAACTGGAACTTGGAGCTGTAGCCTTCAGGGTGTTTCCCTGGGTCATAATCCCCAATCTCCGCTTGCAAAAAGAAAGCAGAGTAAAACAGTTGTGGAGACAGGTAAATCATCACTGGTAAAGCAACAAGAAATCAACACACAGAGCAAAAGCCAAAGCACACACCAAATTTATAAAGAACAATGGATCTTGAGCACGGCTGTGGGTCAGGCAGAGGGCAAGCCCCTCAGAAGCATGCCTACCTTTGTTTTCCCAGGTGTGCACTCTGGGTTGGTATCAAGCCTAAGCAGAGACACTAGAGCCAAGCCTGTGTTCTGTGGTCACCACAAGTAAATACCCAATATAAGAGCAGAAGGCTGTATCACGGTCTTTATCCAGTCAGTCTTGAGAAAAGGGACTGGGATCAATGCTCTTTGTGGCAGCACAGGAAACAGCTTGACCAGGAAGAGAGAGTCTCTTGGGCCTGAGCCAGATCTAAGTTCTGAGGATTTTAGCAGGGCCACACTGATGAAGGAGGCATGACCCAAACTTAGCGCTTAACTCTCAGTCGAAATCAAATCAAATCAAGTGAATGTAATTTGAGTAAATATTCACTGAGGGCTGGCCAGGTGTCAGGCCCCTCTTGGAGAGTGGGAAGACTGGTTAAAACTGGCCACTGAGTTCAGGAGCACCAGGTCCTAAGGCTGATTGCCTAGTTTTCTGCCCGGGGTGGGGCTTTCTCCTCCACCCATTTAGAGAGCAAGAGGCCATCCCTAAAGCTGCTGGGATCTCTGATCAGTGCGCTCTGCGGAGAGTGTGCCCGACAGAGGGTGTGCTCCGCAAAGCAAGTCACACCCCAGCCCTCCGCACAGGATGTGCTGCACAGGGAACATCATGCATATGTTAGGAGGAAGTATGTTAAAAAGTGTCAGCTGCTTTGGGGTTGTCTTTTCTCCTTCCTTAGTGAGAGCCACAACCAGGGCCCACGGAAATCTTGAGGGAGGAGTAAATATGAAGAGGAAAATGTGCCCTCCTCACAGCTGAATATTGTACTTGTGCGCAAATCTATTCATTGTGTCCTCCAGATTACTTGGGAATTTCTATCGTTTAGTAAGAGACTAAAAGCTTTCCTGGGCCTATAGTCCAGAGTGACCTTGAGCCATGAAGTCATTTATTATGATTTTATTTAGGAAGCTCCAAGTGGAAAACATCAGTATTGGATGTCAATTACTTCTTCAAAAGAAAAAAAAAAGAGAGAAAAATTCAATATGGTTGTCAGGGTAAATCTGATAGAAAGACTGGAATTTAAAATCTCACTTAGGACCAAGTTCTCCTTTAAAAATGAAGGAAGCCTCTTTGGGTACCTTAGAGTTGGCAGGCACCTTCTAGACTTGCTTTTTAAAAACAGGAGTCTCAGAAGTCAAAGTTGCAATGTGTGGACTTGCACATTCTTACTGCAGCTATGATATTTCTCTTAGCAGAAGAACTGTAGTTTCTTATTGGCAAGCATTTTTCAGGTTCTCTTCACAAAGTAGCTTCCTGGAGTTCACAGATTTCCAATTAAGAGTTCAGATTCTTTGATGGAAACTGTGATTTTAGTGCTGTGGTCTCGAACAGTCTGGTGACAGTTTCAGGCCTAAGGACTAAGAGAAGTCTTGGAAGTGGCACTTAGGAGCCCCTGCACTTCATGGAAGGAGAAGGCACCACATACATGAAGAGTGCATACCTTTCCCGCTGTTTTGCATAAAAAAAAAAAAAAAAAAAGCCAGTCGGCATCAGCTGGATACAGAGTCAACCCTGCCTTATTAGGATGGATGCTAGGAAATGTGTCTGTTACTTGTAAGCATTCCAACTTTGACCACTCTGAATGGGAAGATCTCTGAAAGGGACACCAGAATTCCAAGATACCTTTGAGATTTGCATGAAAGGCTAGGAAAAAATTGATTCAGATGACTCTCCAGAGTCTCAGTAACTCTATCAACCAAGGGTAGAGGAAACCCCAGAGAGAGTCACAATGATCTGAAGGCACTGGCAGAAAGACCTTAGGCACAGTGTAGGGTTGAGTGGTTGGAGCTTTCTGGACCTAGGGAGTCTAGGCAAAGCCCTCCCATTCAGACTCTGCTTCAAGTTAGATACCGTTTAAACCCAAGAAGTAGTCATTTGTGGTAACTGAAATAATATAACCAGTATTTAGCATGAAAAGCAAATTCATCTTGTCAAAAGTCATTACCTTGAAGGATGTAAGCTGCTAACAAGGCAGCATCTGATGTTTTACAGAGGAGGCGGCCATGGTAGAGATCCCTTTTGATCTGTAGGAAGACTAAGTACCTGGAGAGAAAACAGAGGCAGGAACTAGAAAGGATTTCTCTGATGGCTTTAAAGACATAAGGATAGAATACAAGCCTATCAAAATTCTCGTCAGGGCACTTTTTTACTACATTAAAACAAACTTAAAATGTACCACAGAACAAATGGATTTTCCATTTTCCTGAAGACTTACAAGTACTTTGCCCCAAACTGATTTGGGGTTCAATTCAAAACAACCTGTCCGTTTCCTTCAGTAGCTCAAAACAGAATTGGTGCTTCCTGGCAAAAGCACTGTGCCCCACTCCAGTGCAGGCTTTTGGAAGGAGCCAGCCCCGGCCCACTCGGTGTTGAGAAAGAAACCTGCGTCAGCAGAGAGGGGCCAACTGGGCCCCTCTCTGCCGTGGATTCTGGCCGGTGTTTCTTCCTAAGAAGCGGAGCAGCGGGTGAGGGAACCAGCCCAAGGCCGAGTTCCTCCTCGGCTTACAAGACAACCTGCCCGTGTGTGGAACAGCCTTTGATTACTGGCAGAGCTCAGCTGGACCTTTCAGGATCTGAATAAGCTGTAAGAAGGGGCACCAGGGAAGGAAGCACAGCAACTTGTGGCTGGTGTTTCTTCAAACAGAGAAAGCTCTCACCTCAGATGGAAGCAGGATGGCAAGAATAACGGCTAACAGTAGCTGATATGTAGTGAGCGCTTCCTATCTGCCAGTCCAGGTCTTATGCACTTTACATGCACTATCTCATCTAATTCTCACCTAATCCTTAGAAATAGGTACTATCATCCCCCCCCCCCCTTTTTTTAAACCATACATGTTTTGTTCATTGAAGGTGCTGGGAATACAGAAGGGAACAAAACAGAATCCCCACTCTTATGGAGCTTACATTCCAGTGGGGAGAGACAGATGACAAAACAAGCTTCATGTTTTGTTCATTGAAGGTGGTAACTAATGAGTCGCTGTTGTTGGACATGAGAATATGCCCCACATGACTCATAGCATCCCTAGACCTCTTCTCAAAATTTAGATGGATCTACCAAATCTACTCGTCTTCACTCTGCTTCCCACAGTAAAATGCCACATCTCGGTATGGGGGACTGGGAAGGAGGGAGGGAGGCAAAGCCCGGAAGAGGAGGGAGGGGGAGAGTGCTTCTTTGCCTCTCACTGCTCCAGCTCCCACCTTCCCCAGGCTTTGGCAGGATGTGGAAGCAAACCTTTTGTCCTTTACTCACTGATCATTCCCTGGGTCTGAGTTCATATATCACTCCTTCTGTACCTCTCTGTGTCCACAATTCAGGGACAGCACATACCTGACTAAAGGATATATTTGAAAGGGACAACTAGGCTCTGGGCAGTGATTCTCAATGTCACAGTGAGAACATCCCCTGGGGGGAGCACATCAGAATCTGTGTGTGTCTCCTGGGTTTGAAAAAGCCTTGCTCGAGCTTCTGATTTGCTCCCTTCCCACCCAGGGGGGACGTGCTCCTCCTGACACTGAGAACCATTGTCTTTATGAGGCATCTTTATTTATTTTTCTAAGATTTTATTTATTTGACAGAGAGAGCACAAGCAGGGAGAGTGGTAGGTAGAGGGAGAGGGAGAAGCAGGTTCCCTGCTGAGCAGGGAGCCTGACACGGGGCTCAATCCCAGAACCCTGGGATCATGCCTTGAGCTGAAGGCAGACACTTAACTGAATGAGCCACCCAGGCGCCCCATGAGGCATCTTTACTGATGGGTGCATGGTGGGTGCCTCTAGTGAGCTAGAAAGGTACAGGCTTTCCACTGCTGAGTGGGGTTTCTTTAGACTTCTGGAGGTAGGATAGCTATAGGGGGTCAAGGGTAAGACCACAGGAACAGTGTCAGGCAATGGAACAGCAGTTGAAGGGAGTAGGGAAAGGGGGGGGGGCAAGTCAATATCCTAAAAACAAAGCACAGCTTTCGAAGACAAGAAGTGAGCTCATGAAAGAATCGACCATTAGCTTCAGGGGACAGAGCTGTACTAGGGGTCCCCCTCCCTTTTCTGCCACGGTGGCTTTCATCAAGCTTCATGTTTTGTTCATTGAAGGTGGTAACTAATGAGTCGCTGTTGTTGGACATGAGAATATGCCCCACATGACTCATAGCATCCCTAGACCTCTTCTCAAGAGAACATGGCATATTCTCCCCTGCCACACATGGGCCTAAGGAAGACTATCTTGTTGCCTGAGACACCGCTACTTGGGCCACTTTGTTACAAGGGAAGAGATCAGCCTGCTGGGGCCACCCAGCCCAGCCAACTCCTGATGAGCAGGCTAGTTGGGTTACCCCATCTCAGAACCTCAGAATAGGAGTTAAAGAGCCTAATTCTCTCATACGTGAGGAAATAGAAGGCCAAACATGTAGAGCGACTTGTCTGAGGTGATACAGTGATCAGAATCAAGGAAGTCCTCCTGACTCAGGGCCTGAGGCTTTTTCTACCTCCCTGGTAATTCAGTTAGTTATTAGAGAGAGGGGTCCTAAAGGAAGTCAAGAGAACTCTGTCATCGAAGAGAAATTCTCATTAGAACCAAACAAATCAGACCAGAATTAAGACAACAAGCTTATTCCTTAGGACACTTCTTGAGTAAACTTCGCCAATCTCTTCCTGGCCTCATCTCCATTTTTGCTTTAATGCCAGTGTTGTCCTAAATTAATGGAAGCGCAAATTGGGACTATCCAAAGGCAGAGTAAGTGAAAACCTAAAAAGACAGCCAAGGAAAACCTGTCTTTCTGTGACATGTACATCTCTCCAAGGTATTGGCTCTGGCACTGTGTTTTCTGGGATCAGAGGGTGGAGATGAATCTACAGATGGCTCCAGAATTAAAGGTTCTGACCTCTGGAGAGAACTGGCATCTCCTGAAGAGCTTCTCCAAAGAGTTCTCACTTTGGCCCTGACTTTCCTTCATCAGATTCTTTGTCCCTGGCTTCCTCTGTAATCCTATAATCATCTCCTTGCAGTCAGAGATGCTTTTTTTTTTTTTTTAATTTACCTTTAATATTCTAGGGAGCCTGTACATCTTGTGCCTAGCTCACTTACTCACCCTTCCTCCCACCCATCATCCATCCATCCATCCATCCATCCATCCATCCATCCATCCAGTTCTGAGCACTTACATGTGCCAAGCACTGCCACGAGTGCTGGGAATACGAAAGGGAACAAAACAGAATCCCCACTCTTATGGAGCTTACATTCCAGTGGGGAGAGACAGACGACAAAACAGTAACAAAACAAAATAATAATTTACTGAATGCATGTTGTGGGCCACCCACTGTACTGTTGTTTGCTGGTTGGTTGGTTTTAACTAGGCTCCACGCCCAATGTGGGGTTCAGACTCACGACCCTGAGATCAAGAGTCACACGCCACACTGACTGAGCCAGCCAGGCGCCCCCACACTATACAGGTTAATGCACACCCTCACATGCAGTCCTCATGACGACTCTGGGAGGTGGCTACTGCTTTTCCTTCCTGCTTCATGGATGAGGACATGACTGATTGGAGAGACTGTTGCTTGCCTTGTCTCACAGCTAGTTAAAGGACAACCTGGAATTTGAACCCAGTTCTCTTCGATGCGTTAGTCCGGGGTCGGCAAACTATGACCTGCCACCAAAGTTTCCAGTGAAATACAACATTTTATTGGAATGCAGCCATTCTCATTCATTTAGGTATCGTCTCTGGCTGCGTTCGCACTGCAAAGGCAGAACTGAGTAGTTGTGACAGAGACCATATGGTGCACAAAGTCTAAAATACTTACTCTCTGGCCTTTTATAGAAAACGCTTTCCAGGCCATCTTAGCCTAAGGTAGGCTCAAGTGGTGTTCATCGAAGGAATTTATGACCTATAAACTGCATTCATTCTCGAATATATCCCGTCATTCGGTTAATACCTTTTGTGAGCGCCCCCACTCAAACGTGTCAGGCAGTTTGTTTCCTTAGAAGGAGGCGCCATTTGCACTCAGTTTGCTTCTACTATTTAACCTTGCCACAGAGTTCATACACCTGCGGTCCCTGTTAAATGCTAAATCTGGTGCCTAATCCCCATTTTCTCTGTCTTGTCTCTAGCTCAGACAAGAAAATCTATTTATTACTTTAAAAAATGACAAAAGAGATTAATCAGGATTTGGCAACTAAATTTATCATCTGGGAAGAGTCCAAGAGATAAACTGAAGCACAGTTCTTTACCCCCTATTTCATCCCCTCCTCTCAGCCTGGCTTTATGGGAATAGCTGAGACGGCATTGAAATTTAGGACCAATATTGCTAGGAAAAAACACACTGACAGCTAAATTAGTTTGGCAGGAAGGTGGCATGGAGGGCTCTAAGCCAGGAATGAATTTCAGGTATTGAGTGAGGCTGGGGCAGGTACCCACTCTCTCAAGATCAGTAGGGACATGAATGAGGAGAAAGACTTGGCTAATTCCAAGGCCTTCACAGAATGCCTCAGAGGGGGAGGCACGAAGACTCCATATCAGGCCCAGGCACCCTGTGCTTCACACTCCCAACAACGCTTGGAAAATGCATTCTAGGGAAGGCAGGCTGGTGAGGTGGAGAGCAAGGGGAGAACAGTCGAGGATGCTCAGCACAGATGTGCGCGGAAGGGGGAGAAGCTCACACCCTTGTCAGTGCCTTTGAAGCCTGCTGACCTGGAGAGAGGCCTGGCCATGGCCCTCATGCTGTGCCACTAGGACTTGGATGACTGGTCACCTGGGATGGCTTTTTCTCTGAGTCCTCAAAAACTAGCTGCTTAAGTGGTAGGACTCTAGCTGGTCGGGGAAAAGGACCGAGGAGGAGTGGGGAGTCTCAGAAAAGAAGCGCCTTTAACCTCAACAAAGGAGAGAAGCCACAGCTAACTGTACCTGTGCCCTGTGCGGAGCCCTCGGGGGTCCATGGACCACGTAATCCATCTGGCAGCCTCTGCTCAGGGAAAGGCTTGCCGGGGTCGGGGGCGGGGCAGAGTGTATCACGAAGTACAAGACCCTAGTGTAGGGGTCAGTTCTCCCAACAATTCCATGCGGGAGCTGTTACTCTTCCTCATTTTATAAATAAGGGATCTGAAGGTCAGACAGGTTAAATATCTTGGGTCCAAGGCCCAAGCTGAGAAGTGACAGAAATAGGATCTGAGTTTCCAGGTCTATGCTGCTTTTTGAGTAGGATAGTCTGTCCATTAGTATTATGGAGGAACATTTGATTTAGAAAATTGTATTGTTAAGAGCTCCAAAGGGCCAAGATAACCATATATTTTTGTCCTCTAATCAAATCAGAAAGCCATGTGTCTGCCGTGCTCTCACTGGCCGCTCACTGAGTTGTTAGAATCATCCCTGTCATCCTCACTGTTGGTTGCGTGAGGTGGAGACCAGGAGATCCTGAGGTGTGGTGTTAGGAGGCAAGGTGCCAGGTTCTCAAGAAAGAGGTGTTAAGTTTGCCCAGACACGTGGACAGGAGTGTGGCCTTCTGGGTCTGCCTTGGGATCACCACCTCTTTTGGCAGGGAAGCAGGTTGCGGGGAGAGGGACAGGTTCAGAGTGAGGCAAATGCTCTGAAGGTCCTGAGCAGGGCGGGCTCGTGCTCCTAAAACTACAGGATTGCTCCTGTACTTGGATGAGCAAAGTGGGAGCCACATCCACTTCCGTGTGGATGAACAGAACCTGCCGTTCCCATGCCCGGTAAGGAGCATGAATGCCCGCCCTGGCCTCAGTGCTTCAAAGTTGGTGCATGTAGACCGCCCTGAGCATCCCGAGGAAACAACCTTCCTCATCCTCTCGACTGCACTGCAAGATCCCCCCCAGCCTCCACTGGGACCCACGTGAGAAGCCACTTCTCCTCTCCGTCCCACTTCTTTGCTTCCTTTGCACTACTTAGCCCTGTTTCCTGCCCTCTTACTCTCCCCATTTCCTCGTTTTCCTTCTCAGAAAAACTTTAGCTCCTTTTATCTGACATAAAGCCAGTGGCACGCTCTTCGGAACAGGAAGTGAATGTAAGTCCATATTCCTTCTTCCTCCCTTCTTCCCTCCTCTTTCCTTTCTTTGGAATTCTCCCAAGCAGTTCAGGATCTGGAAGTAGATGGCAAAGACTTACAGGACAGAGTCTCTATAACTGGCCACGGCCTCATCCCGGTCTCTGCGGTCTCCAGGGTTTTTGGGGGAGGCGGAGAGCTGGCAGAGCTCTCTCTCTTCCTCAGCTCTAGGGTTCCCTGGCATCATCTCTTGCTCTAGGGCCCCGCCCTCTCAGAGATAACACCAACATTCTGCTCATGTCCAAATTAGATATTTCTAATATAAAAATTAAGGATGCCTGGTACAGAGCATTGCTGAGTCTCTGAGGCAAGACTTTCAGAGTGAATTTGGCTCATATATACAAAACCCTGGTGAAGCTTTGAAACGCCTATTCTTTGACCCTCTTGTAGGATGATGTGGGCACAGAAGTTCCTTCTCATCCTCACGTGGTGCTGGATGAGATAGGATTCATTCCGTGCAGCTGTGTGCCTGCCACAGAACACGGTCCCCACAAGGAAGCGTTCATCACGGGCCAGATCCGTCAGCACACTGGAGTTTATCCACTTGGATTTAAAATCTTCAGTGTTTCCCGGCTTATTTTGCAGTGTCCTGCTTTGGCATTTCCCGAGGACGTTAGGACACTGGAGTCTATTTCAAGCAACATCCCCCTCCCCCAACAAAAGCAACCCACCCTCTCCAAAAACATCCATGGTGGCCACAGCCTTGGTAAAAGAAAAAAATGCTTTTGATTAAGTAATGACTCCAGGTCTCCTTATAGATGGCTAGTTTACGTGAAGTATTCACACTTCTCGAAGGAAAGCAGCTCACTCTGTTCCAGTTCCATTGAGGGGGTGAGCAAAGAAAGCATGTGGAAATGAAATACAGAAGTAAGGTTATATTTAGGAAGATTCCTTCCTTATAAGAGTGAGAAGCTTCCAAAATAGAGGATCGGAGAGGCTCCAGTCCCTCTTTCCTCTCCAACAAGTCTCAGTGGCTGAGGGAAGTTCAGCCTTACCTGGTTATCTCTTCTTTCAGGGCAGCAGGATCTGCGGGGTAAAACTTCACGCGGAAACACATGGTGAATGGAGGCTGGGCTGCAGAGACAGAGATGTGCCCGTCTCAGGAAAGACCCTTCCCCCAGAGGATGACCAGGCTTCCCTCCCCACTGGGATGCATCATCAGAAAGTCCTCACAGGTATAGGGCAAACTTATACAGGAACGGTGGGCAATGACCAAGACTTACTAAATGCGGGAGGTTTCATCCCACCCTCCCCAGGGGTGAGGCTCCCCACCTTTTCATGAAGAATACTTACATCTCAATTGCTTCACCACAGACTTTGTAAACTCCAACCAATGCTGAAACAGAGAACACAGAACAAGAAAACCCGAATGAGAAGCAGTGTCAACTCTAACTTGTTTTACCCAATTTAAATAACTGGACAGATTGTAGCCCAGGGTGAAAGCAGCCCAAAGCTTGTGATATGTAGGCTTGGAGAGCAGAGAGTGATAGGAGTTTTGCAAGTAAGCTCCCCATGGAACCAGCTGTGAAGGGGGAAAAGTTCCAGCTTCAGATGCCATTTCTGGGCTTCCCTGGCAATGCTGCCTTCCAAAGTAGGGTGCCAGGGTTCTGAGCCGTATTTCTGGCATACCATTAGGCACAAGCGAATGCACGTATGTGTAATGGGGACAAAGCCCCGCCTGTCTTGAGCACGGAGACGCTGACATTAGTGGATTGTGTGTGTTTGTGTTATGTGCCAGCTATTTTTTTTTTTTTTGGCAGGGGTGGGCAGTGGGGACAGAGGCTATTGGTCGTGGCTCTAGAAAGTATTAACAGGTGGAATTTCATCAATGGTGAGAAGGCAGGGATGGCTGGTGCATCCTCCATCTTTGTTTGAGTAGCATATTGCCAACCCTTGTGTTAGGGCATACATACTCAGATTCCTTGGCATCCAGGGATGTTTAAAGTCTCAGTCTCATAAGATAACTAACCACAACTAATGTGTAGGATCGTATCGTTTTTCCCTTGGATTTTCGTAGAGGCAGGATATAGTAGCAATACATTTTTTTTCCCCCATGGTACTTATGTTTGCGGAAAGGAAGCAATGAGATCATTCTATAACTGTTTCCCAGTTCTACATGAATGCTTTATAAAATGCATTATTGATGTTTGTTGCTTTTATGCTAATCAATAAATTTGACAGTTTGCAGAAAGCTACAACGGCTGTTACTTGGGATTTGATTATCTGGAAGTAGACTGAAACCATTAGCCATAAGCTCTGTGAAGGCAGAAAACTGTCAGCTGCCGGTGCCCTGAAGAGTGTTCAAGATACAGCTACCAAACGGACGAAGGAAGCGGGTCCATGCTGGGTCCACATCTCCCTCTTTTCTGGCTACTTCCATTTAGAGCAACATCTTGGCAGAACCTTCCCTCTGGCAGGAAAGAAGCCAGGGCCGTGCAGACAGCATCCTGGCCTCCCGCGGTTCCTAGCTCTCACCTTCTGGGCTGGGCTGTGGGTCACACAGTTAATGGACCCACTAAGAGCCAGTTCCTCCGTCAGCTCCACATGGATAATCTGGGCTGACATTCTGCTCTCTTGCTTCCTCTGATCTGAGTTCCCACGAGGCTGGCAACTCATTATAGCCACTCAATGTGGTTAAGAGGTCCTTCTCACATTACACGGCCCACCGCGGCTTGGCTTCATGGGGAAGCAAAGGCAAGAGATGAAATTGCACAGGAACAAGTGGGGTTCGAGGCTGAGCCTGTGAAGGCGGAGGAGGCCCGTCTGATTGGAGCACGTCGGAATTGTGTCCAGCTAGGAGAACACAGCGAGTGTCTGGGGCTCAGAATGCCCCCAGGCATCTGAGGGATAGATTAAAATAAACAAACAATGGAAGATGGAAACTACAAGGGAAGACCGTGAGATGCGTTCTCAGCAGAAGGCAGGTGGAGCTGAATGACAAAAAGCCTATTCCCCTCGGCCAGGGCTGAAGAGGACTTCAGTCTGCACTGTAGTGAAAGGCTGTTGGAGACAGCGCCGGGTGGGGGGGGGGAGGTGAAAGCCATAACAGCTTGTCCAGGAGATTTTAAGGGTCTGGTAGAGAAATCAAGAGAAATCAGGATCCCCAAAAGGGAGTGATGGCCAGAGTTACCCTTTGCAGCGGTCTGGCTAAATCTGGGTCCCACAATCACTAGCAAACTGATAACAGGAGACTGGGGAGGAAGGGTCAGGAGAAGAGAAAAGAAGGTTCAGAGAGGACAGTTTCCACCCGTATCTGGGTCATTGGGCCAATGTGGCACGATCTGGAGGTTCTGGTGGCTGGAAAGGGTGCCTCCAGTCTGAAAGGAGAGTCTGAGAGCAGGCTGAGGCCCTGGACCTGAGCCAGCAATAGGCTCCCCGCTGTGGGTCCCCCAGGAGGGACCAGGAGCGTTCCCAGACCCCATGGGCACCTGTGCAGGCAGTGAGGGGGTGGATGTGAGCTTGGGTTCTGGTGCCCCAGGGGAGGAGGTTTATTTTAGGACCTCACAACCTAAGGGAGCGGGGAGCTTACCCCCTCCATTCTCTACCACGAGTCACCCAATCTGGGGTGACAATTTCCCCACAACTCTCAAGCACCTTTCCAAGCCTCTCTGCTCTCCTTAACCCCTCAGCACAGTCACAGAACTTCAGAAACTGTCAGGTATGAATTCAGCTGGAACCTTAGAACCCATACAGAGCCTGGCATCAGACAGCTCCGAGCTGGAGACTGGCAGTGCCATATGCCTTGGGCAAGTCACTCCTTAACCTGACATTTTATTTCCTCAGCCAGAGAATGGCTATTTGACTTGTGGATACTCGGCTTATTTGTATAAGGATTAAAGAACATGTGGGAAGCTCTTAGCTTCATGCCTGATAGAACTCAGGGCTCAACATACATGGGCTGAAAGGCCTGGGTTTGTGCTCAGTGCAGAGCCCAGCACACAGTAGCCGCTCCATACAGGTTTATTTCCCCGTTTCTCCATTTCTTTATATTTCTCTGTCTCCTCCTGCTTTGGTCTTTATCCCCTCCATGTACTCTCTTATTCTTCTTAAGCACATTTTGACCTAACTAGAAAATAATGAGGATATGTTTTGTTTCTTTTTCTTCATAAGCCACTCTCTTCAGGAGATGAAGAGAACTTGGGGTAACCTGCCTTCCCTCTTAAGAAGAAAACAGCTCAGACCAAAAAAATAAACAACAAGAAACCCCCTGGTAAAAACAGTCCATCATTTTATAGTGAATGGACACCTACAGCATGTGAGGACATGTAGCTTCCTGGTATCATGGCCCTTTTGAGGTTCTAGAGCTAAGGACAGTATTTACGTCAAGACTGGAGACTTCATAGGGCAAGGGGCTGACCTTACTTCCTAAACAGTGGTGATGCTCAAAATTCTGCTGAGCCAAGAGGACCAGAATATGTCAGAGAAGGGGGCAGGGCTTTTCAAAAGAAAGGGATACAGTCCTATGGATTCTTTCTTTAAGCTAAAGTGTTCAGCAGAAAACTCTAAATGTGACCTGGAGACACAGTGGCTCAGAGCATCAAAGAACAAAACAGCACTTGACTCTGGCATGCTGAGGCGTGTATCCATTCACTCATTACCTGCGGTCCTGGGCATTGCTAGGGGACTGTGCCTTCGGGGGCTCTGAGGCCCCCAGTGACAACAGAGATGGAACCCATGTTTGGAGCTGTGAAGAAAATCAGTGAACCCATGGAAGGGGGACCCTCTGGGATTTTGTGCTGATAATATCTTTGGAGGATGGTAGACCAGAGTGGGGGGTGGGCAGGGGTATAGGGAAGGGGGAGACAGGCCCGAATGCTTCTGCATGTTTTCCCACTTCAGTGGGGGCACCAGAGAATACATCCCCACAGAAAGGAAAGGGCTGATAAAAAGAAGTTCTAGGAAGTGCAGATGTCTGCTAGTGGAGCAGCTGGGCAAGTGGAGGGGGAAATTTTTGGCATCATACACCATGAACTCACCCACTCATCACTCCTTCAGCAAATATTTACTGAACGTCCACTACATTCTAGGCCCTGTGCTCGTTCTATGGGATGTAGTGCTGAATGAGAGAAAGTGCATACACTCATGGAACTTCCATTTTTGCCCGGAACACAGGTAATCCAACAGGCAACCATAGCATGGCGTAGAAAGTGCTACAAGAGGGGTAGTACAGGGCCTGTGGGGCACACAGGAGGGACCCCTCGTTCACGGTGGGGGTGGGGGAAGAATCCCTGGAAGAAGTGCAAGTCCAAGCTGAGACATTACACGTGAGAAGGAGTCAGCCAGAAGCAAAGCGTGGAGTGCGGAGAGGGGAGGAAAGGGAGAAGAGATGTTCTGGGCAGCGGGGCTGTACAGGCGGAGGCAATGGGAAGAGAGAAGGATGGCATCTGGAGAGCCACAGCAGGGAGGAGACAGGTCAGGGGAGGCTGGGGCCTGGGGGTGACGGACCTGTTCTCATCTCCGTCCGGAATGAGCCCTGTGTCTGTGGAGCAGAACGAGAACCGAAGCATTTGCAAGGTGCTCAGGGGCCCATGTCAGTTCGGCTCGATCTCTGTCCTGCGCAAACTGGTGGAAGGTGGGGCCCTTCCGAGCCGGAACTGTGTGGCTCAGCTCAGTCACTAGAGAGCGGGCAGGAGAGGCTCAGCCTGTGACCTGTGCTCGAAGACAGTAACACCAGCCCCGCTGCCCTGCCGCCAACCGGGCAGCTTTGGGCAGATCACGTCAGCCCTCTAGGCTGCCAATCTCAGCATCTGCGAATGGCGGGCCACACTCGCTGAGCTCTGCCAAGGTGGCTACGTGATCTGAAGAGGTGACGCCCAAATGCGGGGCCCGGGGGGCCACTCATCCCTGAGGCTAAACTCAAGAGTATGAGTGGCAGTCCAAGGACTCAGGCTACTGACCAGCCCTCAGGAGGTCAGTGAATATTTGCGCTTCAAATATTGACTTACCCGCTGCTTGTCTGGGTCCACAAAGCGGATCCCAAAGTAGTCTTTCTCAAGAAGGTTCAGGTGGTGGCAAAGAAGGTCAAACAGGTACTGGCCCTTGGCATCTCTCTGCAAAGAAAGCAAGCTCCATGGAGAAACGACAGGGCTTCTTCAGTGTAACTTCGTTTTGATTGTCATTAAAAACCATTCAGGGGCGCCTGGCCAGCTCAGTCGGTAGAGCATGAGACTCTTGACCTCAGGGTCATGTGTTCAAGCCCCACATTGGGCCTAGAGGTTACTTAAAAAAAATCGTCTAGAAGTTGGATGAGGATATGAAAAGGGCACATGTCTGTAACCGTGTCCTCCATATTGTGATGCATTAGACAGTCTCTCAAGTTCCAAGGCTTTTTGCACTTGGAAGGAGCCCAAGAATCCTTCAGTCCACAAAGATGTCAGAGAAGTCACAGGAGAGTCGGGTAAGCCCAGTTGCAATCTCAAATGCATGAAGCTTTCCTGAACTTGTGGGAGCGGGGCAAGTCAGCGTGGGATACACTGAGTCCAGCTGGTCCTGCCTCTGACATAGATCCTGAATCCACCTTCCTGTCTCCAACCCCATGGTCAAGCCACCACCATCTCTCAACAGCCTCTCTCCACATAGCAAACACGGTGACCACAATTTAGACATGGGACCTTTTTTTGCTGAATATGTAACACAGGCATACTAATATATTCGAACGTACAAAAGGATACACTATGAAGGGTAGGTCTCCCTTCCATCCTGGTCACCCTGTGCCTCAGTTCCCCTCCCCAGAAGCAACCCATGACCAGCTCCTTGTGTATTCTTAATGTGGGATTTTATACATGGGCAAGCCCATATACATATATAGCACTTTTTAAAATATAGTGGCAGCATATTTTATGCTGTATCCTATTTCTTGTGTTTTTTTTTTTTCTCCTACCAAGGGTATCTTGCGAATCCTTCTCTGGCAGTACATATAGACATGCGTCACGGTTTTTAACTGCTGCAGACCACTGGGATGAACCCACATGTACGTACCCGAATCCGTATTCGTGGAATTCGTTTCTTATCTGCTACTACAAACAACGTGGCAGTGAGCACACAGTGATCTTTAATTAGATCACCACTCTTGCTTAACACTGTCAGCGGCTCCCCATCGCTCTCAGAATGAAACCTAAACTCTGACCATGGCCTCCAAGGCTCTAACACCCTAGCTCGTGCCTCCTGTGAACTCCTCCTGAATCATTCTCCTCGCTGCTCTCGCCACGCCTTCTCTCCCTGATGCTCCAAGGCCTTCCACCCCTGGGTCCCTGTATGCCCTCTGCCTGGACGGCCCTTCCTCCAGCTCTTTCCATGGCCACTCCTTCTCTCGAGGTCTCAGCTCAAATGTCCCCTCTGCAGAGGGGCCCCTCCCAATTATGATCTCATTTATCCTGCGTATTCCCTTCATGGGACTTACAACAATCTGTAATTGCCCTGTTGATTTGTTTACTTGTTTATTTACTGTCTGCTCCCTTGCTAGGCTGTAGTTTTCCTGAAGGCAGGAGCCCTCCCCCAGAACTCAGCACGGGGCCTGGCAGATGGCAGCTACATCCTCAACAATTATTCACTGAATAAGTGAACAACCGAATGAACAGAAGGTAGAGGGTTGGCTAAAAGTTTTCATAAATTAGGAAATTAGGCCATTTCTAAACCTTTAACTTCTCCTCCAGGGACCTGTGTTGGTATCTGGGATGCGCTGGGAGGAGAATGACTTGCGGGAAAGTGTCAGAATATCTGGAGCTCCGCAACACAGCAATCTCGAGGCCTATCCCCAGTGGTCCCTGCAGCTCCGCGGAGACTATCATCTCTGGGGGGACTGTGTCTCATTTTGCAACCAAAATCAAGGCTGACTTATAAAATCCGAAGGATCTCACCTGTGTGAAGGCCCAAGGGCCTGGCACTGCTCCAAGAATGGGCAGACCTCTCAGACCTCCACGAAAGGTTTACACCTCACCTCTTCCCCTTCTGCCAGCTCACCCTGTACTTTCCAAGGAGAACTAGGGCAGGATATCCAATCTCTCAGCAAATATCTTAAGAAGCTTATCCTTGCAGGATTGGAAGGATGAGTGAGTAGACAGCTCAAGTAAGGAAGGCAGCGCCATTGGGCACCTCCCTTCCTCTTCTGCTGGCCCCACACTCCCTCTTAACACAATCCCAAGCAGCTGCCCCAATTCTTACACCCTTTGATCTCCCACCAGAAAGAGCTACTCTTGTTACGACTCACGCTGGGACTTCTGGGCAGTGGGTTATAAACCAGGTTTTGCGAAAGACTCCATCAACAACTGTCTTTTTGGGCAGGGACTGCTAACTCTTTCCTCACCAATACCCCAGAGTGTGGGAAGAGCTTAAACTCTTTTGTAAGGTTCTTCTGGGAGCAGAGGAAATGTTTCACTCCATCCCAAGCGGCATGTCCTGTACTATTCTCTCTCCCAGAGCAACTGGAATGGAATATTAAGAAGCAGTTGCATATTGTGAATATTTTTCTCTGAAAATTTTACTTTGCATCGAGGTGGCTACTTCATAGTGATCAGTTAGGGTGCGTTTTAATGGCTGACGTAGTTCACTTCCGTCCCTACAACAACCATATCAGCAGGAGCCTGGGGTAGCCATGGGGAAAATGTGTCTCGTGTGATAGAAATCACAAGAACTTTTAATGAGAATCATGTCTGCCATAAAAATAACTCATTTGCAGGAGCGGGCAACTCGGATACATTCGTAGGGACCTTAGTTGGCGAGAACTTTATATTCAGTAGATCTAAACTCAGAGTTCTCCCACTTCACAGGAAGAAAAAACAAACATGGCTTTTTCTCTTCAGATAGTTACCAAAAAAAAAAAAAAAAAACCCATTATACTTCCCTTATATCAATAGAACAGGATCTTTTTTCTTGCTACTTTTTAGCATCTGATGAAATTCCTGCTCCCCACCACGAAGTCATAGTTCCCTCAGGTTCCATTTGCCGGTGGTAGATGCATGGTTTTGAGCTACAAGGCTCTTATGAAGACTAATGAAGAGAAGCATCTTCCTTTACTGTTTCTCTGAGGCTGGAGGGTGGGAGGTGAGGGGAACGGGGAGAGAGGCAGGAACAGAGTCCCTCCTTATGGCAGAAGTCCATCAAGTTTATTTTTTTTTTAAGATTTTTTAAAAAATTTATTCATTTGACAGAGATACAGAGAGAGAGAGCGAGTGAGCATGAGCAGGGGGAGAGGCAGAGGGAGAAGCAGGCTCCCCACGGAGCAGGGAGCCTGATGCGGGACTCAATCCCAGGACCCCAGGATCATGACCTGAGCCGAAGGCAGACACTTAACCATCTGAGCCACCCAGGCACCCCTCCATCAAGTTTAAATTCCTGGCAGAAACACAAGGCAGCATCACTTCAGAGCACTGCTGGGGCACCTTTCACAGAGGGTTGCAACCCGCCCCTCTCTTGGAACACTCACGCCAGGGGCTGGCGAAGTGGCCTCAGGCAGCCTTGGGGCAGGGAGTCACAGTCAGCTGAACCACCATGGTGGCCTCCCTACGAGAAGCCATTGGCAGGGGTAAGTATAGGAATTTTAAACTTCCTGGCCTTGTACTTTCAGATGCCAGCCAGCTGTGTCCTAGGATCCTCTTTCTGTGGTCTCCCTGTACTACATCTGGGGCTTTCTGGAATATTCTGTGGTCTCCGAGTCTTCTCTTTTGGTGGGATGGCAAAATCCAGTGAGTATGGTCTTCTCTTCCCTTTGCATACAGTTGCTCTGACACCACAAGCTGCACCGTGTGTTGTGTGCTGAATGTTGTGCCATTGATTACGCTGGGGAAACAAGCACTTGCATTGACAGGTGATTACTGTTTATCACAAAGTCAGGGCTCCAAGCCTGAGGATGTTTATCTTCAGGACAAGTGAGCTGCAGCAGGGCACCCAAATCCAGCTAAGCCTCTGAGGTTATTCTCTTGCCAAAGATATTACTGGGTCAACATAACTTACTAATACAAATCAATTTGTATTTTGTGAACCACAATAGTACCTATTTGAAAATAGTACCTAGTAGTATTAGAAAATAATAGTGCATATACAGGCAACCCGTTTACTCTCTCTGTATGGTGTGCAGAATGATGGATGAACTCCTTAGAATCATTCTGCAACTCTCAGGTTGGGAGAATTCATACTCTTGCTCCTCCCTGGAGCTCCAGGCTCTGGTTCTCTATTCTTCAGGGAAGAGACTGAGGCAGCAAGCAGTAAGCAAGTGTGGGCGAGTGACCTAAACTTATTCAAGGTTAATTGCATTTTCTGCCTCATAATCAATAACTTTGGATAGGAGAGCAGCTTTATTCTAACCCATCGTGGGGTTAATCCCAGGGACTCTGGCATAGTGCATCCTGATCAGAGGGGCTAACATGTAGAAAGGCCCCCACTCATTAGGCCTCACCTCATTCAGTCAGCTTACCCGTGAGGTAGGCAGATTTTACGTGTAAACTACTTGAGTCTTGAAGAGGGCAAGAGCGATCACAACTTTCTCAGGCCCTGGGCTACGTGCTATTAAAGAGGAACTGGCCACGGTTTCCTGGGCCCTTAGAGAAGGCAGACGTGAGAGGGAGGGTAGTAGGCAGTGGTATCTGCAGTCCAAGAGCACAAGAGCCCAGGGGTGTCAGGAGGCCACGGCCAAGGAGGGGATGCCTAGAGGAGAGGGCAAGAGCTGAACCAGTTGTCCTTAGGCACCCAACAGGGAAGGATGCGGCTGCAGGGGTGGGACGGCATCGCAGCCTCAGTTCTAGCTCAGCTTTATATTTAAATTTTGTACAGGCCAGAGAAAGGCTGCTTTCTTTATCAGTGTCCTCTGAAGGCATGTGTGCGCCAGTGTCTGCCAGGTTCAGGAGCAGATGATGTGGAATGCTCCTGAACGTCACAGAGGGACGGCCACAGAAGCTCATCTTCTCGGGGCCATGGCATGAGTAAGCTGAGCCAGAAAGTGTGAATCAATTCCTGGGGTGCATTCCTGCCCCTGTGTTCACACGCTACACCAGCCCAGCTTTCTGAGGGGAGGGAGGACAAGGGGCCCGCAAGGGCGGGGAGGGGCAGATTTCTTAAC